TTATGTAACGATAATAAGTTCAGAATAATATTAATATAATAGAAAATTCAGTTATTTTAATTACCAAGACTTTATGACTATGATACAGAAACTTGAAAATAACAAATGAGTTATAATACATGAAGTTGTCATTTGCCTATCTCGGTTATTTATTCTTATTATGAATTATTTCAAGGAAGTATACAAGATACATTCACTTGGTACTGTTTACTTGTTGTTTAGGGTTGCAATTGAACAGTCTTTTGTTGGTATATGTGAATCCTGTGCGGATTGCTTCGATATTACCTTAAGACACAAGCTTTATAAGCAAAGATGGATAGTGGCTAGCAGTGGAATCCAGTTTGACGCGCGTTTCGTCCTATTTGGAACTCTTCATCTGTACATACCCCCATTGCACAAGCTAGTGATTATCAGGACCCAGTAGCTAAGTGGATAACGTGATGGCGTTTGAAGCAGACGGTACAGGTTTACAGTCCCAGAATTAATATCAACTATGAAATACTGGCACATCCAGTCGACGTGTCCCAAACAGGGCGAAATACACGTCCTGTATTCCACTGCTAGTCACTATCCATCTTTGCTTATAAAGTATATAAGATAATTTCATGTGAAAATAAATAATAGGATGTTTAGACTTTGTTCCTACCAATTTTTAGTGGATGAAATAGGGAATCGCAAGTTTAAAGATTTATTTGTATTGGTTTTTTAGTTCACTTTGCTTAACTCAGTTTGACTGTATATAGGAAAAAAATGTATCATGAGTCTGAGATAAATTCACAGAACTGAATAAACTCAGTTTAACTCAAACCACGACAATTATTGACCAAAGGCTATTCATGAACAGTAAATTTATCCCTCTCAAATTCCTCAGTAGTATTTAGTTATGTCTCTATATAAAGCTAACATAAAAATAAACCGTAGGATTTTAAGTCGGATTTATAGGTATCAATATCAAGGTTGGTCTTGATAGTTTCGAATAAATTGAGCACTGAATACTATTTAAATTTGTGTTAATTTAATGTCAACTATTTATTTACTCTGAAGAAGTAGCTTACATTAAGTTACGAAACGTTAGAAAACCTTTTTTCTATTCATTGAGATATAACAATAAAAGAATATTTGACAATTTAGAAATCGGTTTATTTAAGATTTCAGCAGCCGTATCTCCTTTAGCAAATAAATTGATAGATACATATTGATGTTGAAATTTATCCTTAACACATCCAAGTATAGTAGGAGGGCTTGACAAAACGCAGCGAAGCTCCGAGTTTTCTAACAGGTATCTGGTATAATAAATAATAAACATAATCATGCTAATGACTTTATTCAATATTCCATATTTGGTGTATTATGAAATTCTCTGGATACAATATTTCTATAAGTTTATCTTACTATGTTTACATCGCCAAGACATATATCTACATACATATTTATGTGAATGAAATTTATAAATTATATAGAATTATGTGAAATATTTATAAGAATCTATAGCTTGTGAATTAGTATCAAATTTAAGAATATAAGCTTTTGATTAAGTCAGCTCTTACAACGTGTTCATTATAAAATAGGTTTGTTAGATACAGAACATTAGAGTTTTGTAATTTTGCGTAAATGTATGCATTCTAATGTAACTGTATCACTTTATATTGTAAGATATACAACCGGAAATATGTGAAGTGAATGTTTAACATCTGATAATGTCAATAGTTTATGAATATCCACCCACAACTATATTTATCAATACATCAAAAGACTCATCACATATCTTTTTAACTTCCTTCAGCACTCTCTGCAACATAAGAAACAAATTTTTCTCAAGAGACCAAGAATGAATAGAGGAGAATAGTAAAGGATAACAGGTAGTATATAATAAGTTACAAATCATGAAAGTGTTGAATAGTGCTAAAAACATGTAATCTTTGGATAAAATGTCAGACGAACAACTTTATCCGATATTAACAGAACATGAAAAGACCAAGAGAGATTAGAGGAAAAACTCCCACCAAGGTAAATAACATTGGGAATAGTTCCTATCACAGAATCTCCACTGTATAAACTTTATGTAACTTGGACATGGTGTTAAAGTACTTTTCATGTCTCAGGCTAAAGTTAACAGTTTGGCATTTAATATGATTAAGTGTAAGACAATTAAAAATAAACCATCATCCAATGAACGCCAAGAACTCATTCATTTCCAGCACATATACGGAGGTAGGAATTAGATTACACTCAGTGGTAGCAAATCGTCCAGAAAAAGTTGTGGTAAAGAATGCCTTGTAGAACGTCACCTTAAGTTAATAAAGACGTATAATATTTTCCATCAAGCCCAGTATTCTGTTCTCTTCCAGAGAAGTAAAAACATAGCTAGTTGGTTATTTAGCTCTCGGTGTTAACACTGTCAAACTTATATAATGATTAGTAATTGTGAATTAGAGTTAAAGAAAAAAGTATAATCTAGAAATGTTTATCAAAAACATTTTTCACTCTTTTCCACACTAAACACCATAACACTTACAAGACAAATAGAATACTATTACTTTGATTAGTTCTATTTAATAATCTTTTAGTCATTATTGTTGAGATTTAAAACATTATGTCATACTATACACCATTAGGTCTATTATGATGTCCATTAGTTGTTTTTATTCTCAGTAAACAAAAGTTGGATTTGCATATGGTTACACAAATGTAACAACTGTAAATGGAACCGATTAATTTTATGTAATAGTTTCATTGAGTTATTTTATTTGTAGGAACAGTGTTGTATCACTAAACTATAATGGTATATGATAATCAGAAGTGTTTTTTTATTTATCAAAGCTTCAAATTACGATTTGAAGTACTCCAGTTAATGGATGTAAACGATAAATGATTGAATGGTACTGATCAAAATTGATTGGTTCCTATTAGTTACTTGATAAATGCCAACTTATCATAAAACGCGGTCTTCAAATTCAACAGCAACACTTCTTTTTGTCAGTTTGACTTTTATTATTATTAGTATTAGTATTATTATCATTAGTTACCGATAAGGAGCTATAAACATTTGCCTATAGCAGAAACCATCAAAGATTCTATTCTTGTAATATGTCAAAAATATTTCCAAGAAATAAAATTCAAATGGCAGTTCAAATTTTATGATAAAGAAAAAAAGAGAGAAAGAATATCTTACAATAACTTAGCTATATCTTATTTATGTTTTATCATAGTATAAGTGTTACTTACTTGATTGACATAATCATCTAAATGAAAAGGATTTCAATCAATCCAATTTTAATAGATTCTATGTAGGTAGTTTGTAGGTTTGCTTATTGTCAAGATTATCATGAAAATGAATTCATAACTGTTAAGTGATGAGTTATTTGAGAAAAAAACTTATGTCAACTACTAAAAGAACTACAGGAAGCGATTTTTTTTTAAAAACAAAATTCTCATAGAAAGTTAATATCGAATCAAGTAGTTCGTTTGTTTTTTTGTTTCAACTAATATCCATTATGAAAAGTCAAATTTACCCCTTCAAATATACTGATGAATATTCTGGGCTATTGTTTAAAATGTTACTATTGAGTTATTTAAAAGTTTACTTTGAATAAAGCAAGTTTATCAATCTTTAGTTTATTCTAAATCTCCTGAAGTTTATAAATAAGTCATATAGATGAATAATAATAATCATTAACGCCAAAAATTAAAAGCCTTTGTTAATCAATTCTAATCCTGCAAAATGAAACATGTTAAGCTTAATGTTGATTTATTCAATTTTTTTATTGTTTAATTCATCTATAGAATGTGGTTAACGTTATAGGCTGGATAACACAAAATTAGTTCTTTTGTGATGATCAATAATTGTTTTATAAAGTTGAATCTTTGGCATTTTTTTTCAAAGTAGTTTAGTACATTGAAACTAAGAGTATTTAAAAGGGCTTGATTTTATCCTGCTGGTTTTATATATTCTATTTGGTAAATAATGAAAAATTCTAATCGATTATTAATAAGGGATTTTTGCACTGAAAATACATCTACTCTAATCTGTATGGTTAAAATCTCGCATTGCTTACACCAGGTTTCACACAAGAAACCTAGGTTATTAAATGTGCAAATGATTTTTTGTCAATTTTAGAGATTTGTAAAGATTTTAGCAATTTAATAGTTGAATTCATGAGTCAATTAAAGCTAGACCATCATAGAAAACCTGGAAGTACTAAACAGACATTTCGTCGTAGTATGGGGTTTCTCAGCAGTACGCATCCATAATAGCGCAAGCGAGACTCTTACCTAGGACCTTTGCTCTCCCGCGAGAACACTTAACCTCCAGACGGCTGAGCCGGCAGCCAATGGTGTTGACATCTAACTTCAACCAATCCACGAAGTTGCATGACTATCTTCCATTGTCTGAGGTAGATACCTGTCTCTATCCGATACAGATTAGCTCCACTGGTTATAACTTCCAACAATGATCGATTCATAATCTCAATCAAAAAATCTATTATATCCCTGATAACTAAATATTACAACATTTCAACTTGTCAATAATTTCATTTATTTACATTTTTAAAAAATGCTTCACATTATAAATTTATCGAAAAAGAAATGCTATAAAGTACATCCATACCTTTTACTTAAGATGTAAGTATAAAACAATAGTTTAAACAAAAAAAATTGTTTTCATCTATTCAAACTATTCATTTGATTGAGGTGAATTTTTCAAAACACTTAATCTTCCATGTACTGACAGTTCCATTCAACCGATAATATCCCGCATTTTCTTAAACATTCTTACATATCTTAGACCTTAGCAAAATCACTTTATCTGGACTGTATTGTCATTATTATTATTGTTGTTATTATTATTATTATTATTAAAACTACTCAATGCTGTCAGGTTTCTGTGTACTGTTCTTATCTTGTTTTATTTTTGACATCTTTTTCTTAAAGGTTTGATCTTGTTCAAGTGAAGTAATAGTTTTAAACATTTATCCAAACATTAGTTCAACCCAAAAATTATGCTCACTCTTCCATCACATGAATTATCTACTTCAAGTAAAACATCTTCAGGATATTTAACTGACTATAACAGACCAATCAATAAATCTGATTGTTGTTCCCCTTCCACTTCATCATCTGTAACACCATCGTCATCTTTGTCAACATCGCCTCCTGTATCCCATTCTGTGTTTAATAAGATGACATCGAATTCTTTACTCCAATTACAAAATTATTCAGACCAATATATTCAACAAAATAATGAAAGGACTGTTTGTGAGAATGAAAATTATTCCAACAGTCAAAACAAAATGACAACACCACATTGTAAATCGGATTTAAGGAGTTTAGCTCATTTCATTGACAGTAAAACCATGAATTCTAATGATTATCCTGTTGGTAACTACCAACATCAAAGATATCACCATTCTAATGATTTGCTAAACACTGAAAACGAACCCGTTCGTTACAACCCCGTATCGAATTGTTTCGTTGACACCTATCAGTCTCCCTGTCCACCATATTCACTATATAATAAGTATGAAAATAATTCCACTGGAAAATCAGATCATTGCGTGAGGCAGGAAATGGAATTCAGTAATATAAAAAATTTCTCAGCAGCTGATTCTAGAAATCATCTGTCTAATTGTAATCATGAACAAAATGGAACAATACAAAACAGTTTATCATCATCGAACTCCGAGGTTTTCGCAACAACATTTCATTCATCATTACACGGTGTTGTTAAAGAATATGATGATAATGATAATGATAATGAAGATATTGATAATTCTTTATATAATTCTATTGAATCCAATTATTCTTTGGAAGAAAATGAAATGAATAAGATGTATTTGACTGAAAATATGACTTTAAGAAGAACAGTCAATATGAATTCATCTTTAAACCAACATGGATATAGAAAGGCTATGGTGGAGTATGAAGGAATAAATGAGAAAGGTAAACTTTTTAGCTACTCATCACTTCAATGTTTAAGATTAGAATTTATTTGTTGAATTATATGTTTTTTCAATTTTTTTAATATGATACAATGAAGTATCATTAAGGATAGTCACTGTTAATGATAGTGACATGTTTGTCAAATAATTATTCACAGATAACTTGCACTTTTGGTTTAAAAAAATATCTACAGAAACACCAGACTGATATACAAGGATGGAGAAAACTGGTGTTTATCACGTACGACAGATAATTTAAATCAAAGGTATGATAGGGATATGTAATGAAAAATGAGGGAATAAAGTAATTTTGTAGTTGACAATATTAAATACTTGTCATTGTAATCAAAGATGGTTGCTAGCTTAAATGTCAATTCATATCCGTCGAAACAAAGGGAAATAAATTCCCAATGTAGATTAATTTTTATAGACATGCTTTCAAAATGATGTCATTCATATGAACTGCTTTTGAGAGCTTCTCTTTGTAGAATTTTTATCCCTTCTATTTTGTAACATACTTAGCACGCTTTATGTTCCATGTTATGTTAATGAAGATAACTCAAAAATTACATATTGATAATATGACTGTATATGACAATCCTTCATCACTAATACTCCCTAAAAAAACTTCATTTTAGTACACTGTATGTCCTTTATTTGATTATTTATTCAAAACCCATTTGTTTTTCAAAATGAAAAATGGATTTTTGTATTTATCTTGAGGTTGCTGATCGAATATTTATCATAGTGTTTACATAAATTAAAGAATATTAGTATGTACATGACTGAATTGGCATTCAGAAAGTTTACTTTCTATAAATGAAGTGTAAAATTGCTGATAGATATATTGAGTAAAGTCAAATAAGCCAGAGTTAATTATACCTATCAAATATTTGAATACAGATAAATGTAGGTTCCACTTGTTCAGATAAACACCCAGAGTAAATTATTATGTAATATTTAAATACACAAATGAATTACGTGTAAAAATGAACATCATAAGAATAGAACAGATTATCAATTAACCTATACCTAAATGTAAACAACTCATTCAAGTTTTTTGATGACGTAACAACTGATTCAACTTATCAGTTAATTGTTCTCTGTCTTTTTTTCTTTGTTAAATCGATCTACCAGGATTAGTCGTAATAACAGGCTTCTAACTTTATTCAATTTAAACATCAGTTTTAAATTATTTTTTTTCATATCACTATTCAAAAAAGAAAGTTTTGACAGAAATTGATTATCATAATGATGACTGATAAGAATTAGATAACCATTTCTACTCTTATATAAATGTTAGAAAGGGTCACAACGGTTAGTTCACGATTTGTAAGGAAATATTAGCGTTAAAGTTCTTAATGAGTCATTATATATATAACTGAAACGTTTGTTTAAGGTTTGTCTGGTAAATCAGAAAGAATTAGACCATATATGACCAATATGAAAAGAGTAGTTTTGTATATCTAAGATCTACTATTAATTTGGTTCCAATTTCTGGAAGCTCCATATTAACCTTAGTTTATGTCTTCAGTTTATGTTCCTTGAAGAATACTCCAAATATTTTCTAAGATACACCTATCTCTTATATATTATTTCCATGAAGAAACACATGATACTTTTAAGTATTTTATATTAATCACTGTCCATTGTTTTATTATTATTTTGTTATTTTATGAAATCAGCCTAAAATCATTCCATGTATTTATGTTATTTGTTGAAATATCTAATAGACTGCATCAAAAGTATTAGTACTTCACAGAATATTTATTAATGTTGTTCTTATTAGTTTGACATGTTAGCCTAAGCTTATACACTATTCATACAATACATTGAATAGATAAAATAATAGAATAAGTGTAAAACCACATACTTATCTGATGATGATCTTTGTAGACTTCTGTTTTTTTTTAATGTCATCTATTTCTATGCCAACATTAAGTTTCATTACATTAGTCTATATTCCTTATGAAATACTCACAACAAATACTAACTAATAATTTCATTGAATTGAAATGACCAAAAAATGTCCAGTATACAAAGAAGTTTACTTTAGGAATTCAGACGTTGACCATAGAAATCATACCATATTTCTTGAAAATAAAATAAAGTTCACAGATATTTTACCACGAATATGTACATTATTTATATTTACTACATAATTTGTAAACGTCATTTGACTAATTTTCTTTTTTTTGTTTGTTTTTTACTGGTTCGATTTTTAATGCGGTCAACATTAGCCTGATAAGTTCCTTCGTTTTTTTTTATTTTCACTCTTTACGTATATGTGAAACTGAAATTGTTTCAGGGTCATATGTGAGAAAATGTGATGCAGTTCATATAGACTTTGAAATTTAGATCAAGAATATTATTTTCTTGTGCGTAATTATCATACATGAAAAACAACTAGTTGTTAATTTGTAATAAAAAAAATACAAAAAAAAACTGTTCGTCATAGAAATCGAAAATGATGTGTTCATTTTTGTTGACCGTGTAAAAAGTTATTTTAACTTATAGTTAGATAAGCTAGTTATGTGTCTATTATTAGATGCATAATAAAACTTATTACTTTTAGGTTTATTCGGAAACAAATGTTCAACTACTACTACTACTACTACTACTGCTACTAACAGCCTTCCTTACAATCAAGACCGAATGACTATGATCATCCTTAAAATCACAAACACAATAAAGAGTAATTGTTTAGGCTATTAATCACAATCACTCATGAAGACAAAGAGAGATATGGATAGGAATAATAATAAATGAAATGGAATATAGGCTAATATAAGAAACACAAAGCATGTATATAATAATTTAAGCTTTACTAAGAAGTGAGTATAATATATTGAACAGTGAATGAATATAGATATAAGTAGTATATTGAGTAAATACCCGGAGCGCTTAGGTTTATATTTATTATGATAATCTTAAAAAATAAATATCAGTTTTACATTTTAATTATTCTTCCGATAGCAATGTATCATAAAAATACCAATAATATAGGATATTTGCAAATAGATAATCTAGTTAGATGTATACGATATTTTCCAATTAAACTTGTTTAACATCACGTACTAGACCAAATAGAACTATAACCACTTTTTGGACGCCCCTATTGAATTTGGGGGTGTACGTTAATAAAAAAAACCAAGAGGCATCTAATGATCATATTTCTCTTCACAGTGTGACGTTCCAGTACTTGGTCGTATGATATTATGATAATATTATTAATGACCATTTAAGCGTTGATATTCACAAAAAATTTCAAATGACTTGCTACGAAGATTTATTTACAAATAAGAAATATTGCACTGTCAGTTATTTTATATTAAGTAAATTTAATGGGTAGTTGAAAATCAACCACGTGGTAATCAACAACAACTAATACTAATACTGCTACCCTCGAAGTAACTGAGGTGTATAGAAATTAATAACCTAACCATAACCTTGGCATAATCACAACATAAACAAAGTCTCGTTGGTGATAGAATGTAATTAAGTTGATTTTTTATTTGATGCTTCATTATTATTCATATCGTTTTGTGGTTAGAAATATGTGGTTGACCTACAAGAAGCATCATATGGTTTTTGGTACATGATTGTAGAAAAATAAATTGAAGACAAAGAATAAAGATTACTTTATTTGACAGATTTATGGGATATTTGTGCCACTGAAATTTAATTTAGTTTCTCAAAAAGGATCATGTTTGAAATGAGACCTAAAAGTTTTGAATTCACTCTTGTGTGAATCGATTCATTGGTATGTACATTTAGAATAAGCTGAATTAAGAGGAAAAACTTTATCTTTGGCTATTTCTCAACAATTTTTCAGCTAATGTCGGTCACTGATGAAAACTCCCACAAACTGACAAACTTAAATTTACTTATTTAAGTTAACTGACAATCTAAACGGGTATCCGTCCTTAAGTTGGAGGCTGACAGCAAACAAGGTAGTAATCGTAATATAATGAATATTTCGAAATATAATAATCTTTACTATAGATCAAATACAAAACTTTTCTTTAGTGGAAATCTCCCATATAACTTAAGATCTTTTTATATCATATTATGTTCCAATCTCTCAGACTAAATTATTTATTCAAGATTCCAAACTCAGAATTACCATATCCAAATGGCTGAATAAAACATGTTAGATCACTAATTAATAAACAGTATTTCCCAACAAACTAATTCAAATGGTTAAAATTATCCATTCCTTTCTATTTGATTCAATAGATTCAAAGTTATCGATTAATCAAATTTTTCCCAAGACCAATCAAGAATGTGTAAAATGTGGTGAACAAATCTACTCAAATGGGCAACCAGATGGTACAGGTCATTACTTTTGTAGTCGATGTAATCAGCAAGAACAACAACTACTCAGGCATGAAGGAAAAGAAACAACAAAAAATACTGAAGAGTACGAAGATGGTGATGATGATAATGTAGATGACGATGATGATGATGATGAAGATGAAGATGATGAAGAAGAAGAGGACAGAGTTACAGATCCTGCTAAAATATTTCTAACTAAATGGCCATCTGTTTCGACAGCTATAAACTGTAAAGACAATAGTCAGATATCTAAGGTATCCATGGAAGATGAAATAAAACCATATGCAACATCAGACAGAACCAGTTGCTGTGATATAAAAATCAATAATTCAATTAATTATGGAGTGAATAATGATACTTATGGAAATAAATTAAATCCATATGAACCAGCTAGTGAATCTTCAAAGAATGTCATCAATGATCATGCACTTTTATCCAATGCACCCTTTTCTTACTCACCATTGTCATGTAGACGTGCCTTCCGTAGCGGTATTGAAAAAACCGTTACAAACAGAAAATCAGTAAGTTAATTTATCTCCATTGGAAATACTTGCACTGCATTATTTAACTTTATGGAATTTTAGAAATCCTTTGAAACCGGAGGATCTTTGGTTGTGATTTCACCTGTTAGGCAGATTGAAGATTATAAGTTACGGACAATAAAGAATTTTTTAATTTAGACTGTTTTCTATTTCAAATTAGATTTTAAGAATAATAAATACACTGTGTACATTATTTTTATCATAATCTCCAATGATATGATTCACTTTAACGAATGAAGTTAACTTCAATTAATTACTATCGATGGTTATTATGGAAATTTAGATCATGCTTTAAATTCATTTGGAATAGATCAGTTGATTTTACTTGTTTCCATTAGGTATTTAAATTCCAACTAAAACTATTATAGAGTTGTGACAATAATGTACTGAATATTTACCAGCCGTTATTAAACTCTAAAAGCTCCTATGTGTGATATAATTTGTGATTTGATTTATCTAATATATATACTCCATTTCTTTTGCCTGATAATTATGCCTTAGTTTCAAAGTTGATAAACTCGTATCTGATAATCATTGATATATCAAATTAATTCTAACCAAGTTTACTTTGTGTAAATATTCACTATATTAGTGTATACGGTAATGCGACGTGAAATGACTCAGATTTTGAGAACCGGTCATTCTGTCTTCTTATGGCTATTCATTGGTGAATTGGATTGATGAATATGGATTTCTCAGTAGTTGTCACATTAATCTCATCAATTCAGTTGGTCGACAGAAAACAACCCAATTCATATAAATTCACATCTGTTATAATAGTGTTAATTTCTGACTGTACTGATTAAATGATTTTAGCACGAGATTAAATGAATAAACTGGATGACTTCTGATTAATCCAGTCTTGAACATACCTTGATTGAACAAATTTTAATTGAACTCTGAGATTCACTACGAAGAATATACTGTGGATAATTGATAATATCAAACTGAACTACGTCTAAATAGTAACATTCACTAAAATCTTATATTTAGGGTAGCTATAACGCTAAATGAACAAATGTCTTCTATTCAAAATAATATCAGCTCATACTGAAAAGAAGTCCTTAAATATATTGATACTACTTAAATAATTATTAAAAATTCCAAAGATCAGAATGTTTCCCTATCTCAATGTATGACTTTTCAATAATGTAAATAAATTTACTTAAGAGTAAGGTGAAAACGTTAAGACGTTTGGAACATTGAGTTTGTAAATATAGAATGATAAATCGTAAGGCAAACAATTTTCTTTAATATTATCAGTGTATGTATAATTAGATAATGTTAAACAAACCTTATAATGGACAGAAAATCAGGGAAATTACGAATCGATAACTTCTAATTAGAAGGTCGTTTTTCGACACAGTGAATTATGATAATTTATATATTTTGAAGAAAATAAGGCTATACTGAACTAGAAAGCACTAATCTCCTAGTTACCGTTCTAACATTATGTGAGACGTATGCTATGGAATTGATATCTGTTTTGTTAAAAGCATTTCAATTCAACTATGGAACAGAAGAAGTCACTCACATTATGAAAGATAACTGGATTACTGTCCTTCATATGGCTGGCTAATAGTTACTAGTTATGTTTCATCTGTTAGAATAATATGAGAGCAACTTCGAGTTCAGTAGTCCGATTAAAATTTCAACTCAGATTTCGGTTAACCCTATTGTGTAAAGCATTAGATTTATGGTTCAAGCATTCAATTTTTTATAATTATGTCACTCTACCTACTTAGATTTGGGCAAGTGAATAGTAATACTAGCCGTCACATCAAAGGTATACCACAAATCAGAGTGAATAAATTCTATCTCAACTTCAGAGTTACATTTGAATGAGTTGGAGGACTAAATTATAATTATCATTGCCATTATTATTATTATCAATATTAATACTGTTATTACTGTCATTGTCTCCTAAAAAAATTTAAATATTTATCAACTATGTATCTTCCTGTATTATAGATTAGAATTAAGCGAAATAGTTTCAAATGACTAGGAAATGTTATAAATCTTTTTCATCTTGTTTCAATACATTTTGAAACTAATATTTACTTCATAATTTAATGTTTTCCTTAAAACACATTTGACCAGAATTCATGTGAAGTGTTTTCAACACTTCAATTGCTAGGTAGCAGCAGACAACCTAGAAATATTTCACAATAAGATCTGACTTCTCCCTAGCTATCAAGAACTTCAAATGTTTGTGTTTGGCTAATATCATGATGACGATTATCTTCAAGAATTAAATGAGCAGAAATCTCTCCTTTAGAAATTTCGACATAGATAAACGAAAAGTTATTAGACAGATATAGTTTATTTTATGTATATATATATATATATATATATATATATATATATATATATATATATATATATATATATATATATATATATATATATATATATATATATATATTGAAACACAACGCACATTATCATCAAGTTGGTTAATGTTCTGTTTATTCAAGAAAACGAATAAAACCCAACATTTTTGTTTTGCTATTATCATGGTGTTGATGATGTTCTTCACACCCTCTTCTAAGAAAAAAATTTATTTAGTTTTAAATTTTTCACTAAAGTAAACAATTAGTTAAAATTTAGTGTACATTTGTCCACTTTGTCTCTTTTTCGTTGAATATAAGAAAAAAACACAAATTGATGAAGACATCATGGGAGGTGTGTGAGTGTGTGTATACAAGTATATTTGTGTGGATGTGTTTATGTGAATGTAAATGAATACCTGTGTGGGAAAATTGTGCTTCTTATTTTTAAATAGAAAAATACAAACTCATTTGATAATTTTCTATATATGCTTATATATTTACATGTATATCTGACTATAGACTATTATACTTCAGTAGACATTGATGCTAGCATGTATGAATGCGAGTGTGTATAATAATAATATTATTATTATTATTATTTCATAGACCATAAGAATATTCTAAACTATGTTATCGTCATTTCTCTCTCTGTTTTACTGTAGCGTTATAAAAATCTTTAAAATAAGACAACGGAAAGTCTAGTTAATGGTATTTTTCAGTTTCTGTGCATTTCCATATTTGTATATTTCAAATTCTTCCCATGTATTAATGATTAAACAAGATAGTCATATTATTCTACATTCAACATTAAGTTATTTCCTTTCTCCATATATATAGTTAAATCTAGTTGGAAAGTAGGTAGTATACATACATATATAAATTTTATTATACTTTCCTCACTTTACTGTAGTACACAAATTAATTGAAAGCCTAAATATATACAAAATTACTAAATGCCCATACAATATAGTTTGTATCTTTACAGTTTCTTAGTTTATGGTTAACGATGAAAATTATTATTATGGTTATTATTATTATTAATACAGTTGCTCTTTTCTCTTTTTTTTTTACTTGACTTATTGTCGCCTACCGCTGTCTGTAAAACTGAACAAACAAAAATACAAAACAAAACGTTGTTTTCCAAAATAAGTTTATTTGGTTTATATTTACTTGTTCGTTAAATCTTTTTAATATAGATTTAAGAAAATTTCCAATTTTTATAGTTTATGAATGAAATTTCAGATCAGTATGACATTTTTATGTGTAGTATATACTTCTAATCAATGTGTTGCTCTTTTGTTTGTTTATATTTCAACTGTACGTATATGTATGTATGTTTATCTTCTTTTTTTATGAATGTCCTTTAGACAACATTCACTAATTGAAAGTTTAAACGGATTTTTATTTTTATAACTCACTCTCTCTATAATTGTCTTTTAACTTAGTACAAAACAATCACGATTTATCAGAAAACGTAGGCGGATTGTGATATATTAAACGATGATTGTGTATGTGAAGGATAGTTTTCATGTTTTTTTTTAATAAGCACACTGTACCGTATTATTGAACAATTAACAGTGACTAGTAATTGCTATGATAGTTAAATGTATTTCATCAAATGTAAATTCCCAGTTTGTAATGAATTGTTTTCACAAATAATCATAAGAATGTATTGATAATGATTCAACTTTTAAAGGATCTACTTTTCCTCTTGTGAATATTTAGAAATGATCTACAAATTGTGGTACGATACATTTTATAATTAAACTTACTTACTTACGCCTGTTATCCCTCATATGGTAGCATAGGTCGCCCACCATCAAGTTCTATATAGAGCAATTCTTTCTAGTCGTATCCAGTTGCTATAATCAACTGGAAAGGATTGCCTGACCTTAGCTCTTCTAGGGTAACTAACGTCCTCAAGCCCTGGTAAAGCAGAAGGGTTTGGTTCATATACCTACTTGGTAGTTTTACACTTTATCCGAATATTTATATTCCTGAAAGCTAGGTAGATTCAAAACATTTACAAAGAGGATTTTACAGACTAGAACCAGTCTAATTATAATAAACCCCTAACTGTTATGTGTTTAAAATATAATGAATATAACTGATCATGGAAGAATCTCATCTAAAAACCTCAATTACCGCTACAAAGACATCTGGAGCAAATCTGAAATGTGAATGATTTGCATGCTACAATGATTTTATATATATTGAAATAATTTAATGGGTTCATTATAACAAAAAAAAAACATAAATAAGATACTACTCTTAAGATTTTAGTGTTTGATCTTTATCAAAATATAATATGACAAAATTATGTGTTAGCATAGGTTGCCATATCACATAATCACAACGAGATGAAATTAACAAGAAAAATCCTAAAAGGTTTGAAATAATCTCAATATCCGTGATGGTATGGAAGTTTAAATATAGAAGATTTCAGTACACTGATAGTAATGTAAGTTGGATCTATTCAACGCATTCTAAATATTCCATTACTGCTCTGAAAGCACATTTTTAAGCAGTAAGAGGAACATTTATTGATAAACTATAATGACATTCAAATAATACAGTTTGGAACAAATAATAAACATCGTTCAATCAATTATCTTTGCAGGGAAATAGTAAACATGTATAATATTTTTATCATCGCATTATCTTATAATAATATGTTTTTATTAAGTACTTTTACTCATTCTACCTACAGCAAACTAACAGAAGAATTGGATTGATTTGTTCAAATTGTGAAACTACCAAGACCACATTATGGAGGCGTAATCTTGATGGAGAACCTGTGTGCAACGCCTGTGGGCTATATCAGAAATTGCATGGTGTAAGTGTTATATGAGAGAGATTATCTAAGTTTAAGTTTTAAAATTTCTTATATAAATTGAAACTGACCTACTATAAACATAAGAAGCGAAGATAAATTTATCCAGATAGGATGTTTTACAAATTCTTATTGCTTGGTTAATGAGTATTTATTCAAATCTTATGCTAACTTGTCTTTTTCAATGACGAATTCAGTTAGAACAAGAGGATGAATTAAATCCGGATTAAAATGAATACTCTCCTATCTGTTATCTTTTTTAAGATACAGAATGTCAAGTACGAAATAAGTTTTGGCCTTGACCTACGAAGTCTCAGTGTGTTTAAGGTCTAGGAAGTATATTGCTGGGTAACCTCAAAATGGCGCGAAATAGTTCACCACGGACAAAACTAAATAGCTGTATTAATCTCGTCCAATGACCTATTCGCACCTCAGTTCCGAAACTAGTTGTAGTTGTAAGCCGTCACTCGTTAAGTGAACCAAGTACGAACTGAGACGATAATTTATTGATGATATTGAATAAGAATTGCTCTACTCAAAACTGAACCCAGTCGAAAATGTAGATCATTCACTTGTGACTCGAAGACGCAAATATATTGCGTTGTTCGGGAAACTTGTAGGTCCTAGATTCAGTTAAAGGTAGAGCGTGATAAGCCTGTGAATTCTAGACAGATCGTACTCCATATCAAGGCCATAAGTTAATTGAAAGATATAAGTGTAGAATTTACTTTTCTAATTGCATCATTCGGTCACGGTAATAGTCTATATATATCCCTTTCCAGATCAGTGAAGATACACAATAATAATCTCACGGGTTGTGTACATTGCTATCCTGTTTTAGCGAGAAAATTTCATACGCGTTCTGAGTCTTACTCTTGCTTAGCAGGGTGAGTTGAGAATTATGATGTCTTGAGATTCGCACTGAATTAGACTTGTAGATCATTACAGTTAAAAGTTGTTCAGCTTCATGTTTTTCAATAGTCATCTGGTTGATACCACTATGAAAATTATCTTCCAATTTCAAAGCTTCACATTTTTAAATATCGCTTACTAAGTAAACTAACTGTAGATCACAATGTCTCAGAGGTCAATTAATTAAAACTACCTAGTGTTTTTGATATACACATACACAGACAAATTATCTCACTTATATTTTGATAAAAAATGTGCCCAGTAGGGAAACTAACAGTCACTTGTTGTGTATCACTTTGACAACTAATAAATTGATGAATTAGAAAAATCTGAAAACTGTCAAGCTCATTATCTTTGTTGTTAATATGTGTAAACCGAATTACGTAATAATGAAGTAACAAACAAAAGGAATGAAAATAAATGAATAGTGGTTTGATTCAATTTATCATGAACTTTTACCTTCTTAATTTTGTAAACGGATAGATCTCGCAATAAATAAATGAAGGGTTTTGATAAAATTTTCAGTAAACATATTTATGTATATGTATTCTTTGTTCGTTTGTTTGTATGTTTGTGAAAGCCTTGCATTGTTGCTATGTTGTTATTGTTCAGCTTTGATGTTAGCGTCCAAAAGTAAAACTAGTTGCTAGTATTCTTACGTAGGACAAAATATGCACTCAGTATCCCATTACTGATGACCATACGAAATATAATGTTTTAGGTATCAATACTAAAGTTGAATTTGATAGTTTCAAATAAATTGAGCACCGGGTAGAAATTTAATGATAAATATATTTTTGTGATATCCAATTGAGTACAAAACTATACTTCTGATGTTTTGTGACTTAGTGTAAGTCACTTCTTCAGAATAAAAATAAATGACCGACATTAAACTAACACGTTTAAATAGTACTGCTTAATGACTGGGATATCACAAAAATATATTTGTTATAAAAATATTACTTCGATAGATATTCAAGTATATTCTGATTATAATCAAATGCTTGTTCCGATAAATTTTCTGGGCTAATAGTTACCTTTCTTTATTCGATTGGATACTTGAATTTCAAGAATATTATAAATCCAATTTTAGTTTATGACAAAGTGATATCAGATGAAATTTGAATTTATACTTAATTTTAATCATCTAGTTAAGTATCATTATTGTAATGGTTGCTGGAAATGAAAACAGTTACCTACTGCACTATTTTTTAGAGAACACGTCCAACATCAATGCGAAAAGATGCAATCCAGACAAGGAAAAGAAAGTCGAAGAAAAGAAAAGATTATAGCTTGACAGTTGCTGTCGCAGCAGCTGCCGCAGCTGCTGCAGCATCAGTAGTTTCTGTAACTGCATCATCAGACTCTTCAACACCTGTTGTGCCCACATTAACAAACCCTTTTTATTGGAGACCATGTTCAACAACGGAATTATGTCAATCAAATAAAATGTCGGTTTTTGATCCAGGTCTATTCCATTCAAACTCGACAAATTCACATTTATTACCAATGCCTGGATCATTTTCACGATTTCTTCCAGAACAATTGCCGATGTTGCGAAATAAAAATTTTGAAGATTCAGGTAAACCATTAAAATTGTATGATCACTAACAAATACAGTTTTATTCTGTAAATCAAACATGATATTTGTAAGTGGATCAATTGGCTGGAATTATTTCGGTGGTCATATTAGTAGTTTTCGATGACTTGTTTTCTTCTCAAATGACACATTATTTTAACTTAGTTTTTTCATATGTTGATAGACAAAGTGAATTATTCACAAATTGATTAAATAAATTTTATTCAAAGAGATAATAATATTAGGAACAAATCATTTTGGTGGATCTTCGTTCTTTGAACAATCTGAAGTTTATGTTGATGATATTATTCAGAAGAAAAATAGAAGCTCCATAACGAACCATCCAGCTCCGAAAAAGAAATTTTATCAAAATCATCCACCTGAGCTACAAATCTTCGTCGCCATTTTAATAACAAAATTAGTTTGCCTTATATAAAGTGATCGTAGGAGACTTCTGACCTTATGGGACGCCTCACTGGAAACTTCTACTAAAACTGACACTTAAGATTTCTTATAGTCTGTCTTAAATAATCAAATGCAAGAGACCGTAGATAAAAATCCCAAGTTGTTTAACATAGTAAACACGTCACGAGCAAATAAAAGTATAATCCATTTAGTTAATAAATTCCTTCAATATGCATAATTCATAAGTTTTCTCAAATAAAGAAATCGGTTTCCTAATTAGGATGATTTGGACACTTAAAAAACAAGAAGATAAATGCGATAAAAATCCACAGCATTTATTTAAATACATCAAAGTTTGGTTGTTGAATCTACTTGATGGGTACTTTTGGGACAGATTAATAATCCCACTTTTGTAGATTAAAGTGCCCCACCTGATAGATATTGTTTTCCTATTCAAATTTTATCTGATATTTGAGTCTATATCATTGAATGGTATAATATATTGTATTAATAACCGGGTTCATATCATAACGAACGACCTAACAACGTTATAAATAAATTAAATCTAAGAATCATTTAAGTAACAAAGAAAACTATTCTATAGAAAAGATTTGGACAGTTCCACACATGAAGGATTTGTAAAGATTACTTTTATACAGTATTATAATTTTATGACTTTTGTCGATGTTATTTATTATTGAATCACTTATCATTCAAACAACCGAGTTGAAAAATATTGCAATTTTCTTCAGATTAAAAGTTCTAACTAAGTAGTCAAGGAAGATTAAAATTAAAATTTCGTGTTACCTACGAGCGATGAGAATGCACTGCTATCTTCACTAATAATGATTAAAGATCTAAATGACTAGTCATTTTTAACGATACGAGTTCATTATTATTTGTTATCAACAGATTGTTTTTATATTCACCAACATCTGAGATCTCTCTAATGTAGCGTAACATATTTGTTTTAAGTTATAGTTTGAACATTTATGGTAAATTTCATGATTACAACTATGCTTATATTTTGATGTATCCAAGATTTTTAAAATTTTGTGTTGTCATGTATTTCGTTAATTCATATAGTATATAGTATATTACAAATGTATTAATTTATTTTCATATAGTATGTTCTCCTACGTCTGATAACTATGATAAATCATTCAATCAATATGAAATGACAAATAGCAACAAAAGTGTAGTTGAAAGAACATCGGCCTACACTACAAATTTTTTAAATTCAGAGTCAAACAATTATGCTGATCATCAGAAGCCGATGTTCAATTACCAAAATTATCAAGCTGAATTAACTTATCAGTTACAAAAGCATTTCTCATTACAATCCAATCAACTAAACATACATTCAGGTACATACTTGAATAATGATAATTTATGTTTACCTTCATCTGTGAACTATCAACAACTTCATCGACAAGAACTTCATCCATCATTCTCATCCTTTTCACCATCATCAATATCATCAAATAATCGACAATGTGATTATCATACTTATCAAGAAAATGAACAATATAGTCACCATCCTCATTATCACGGACCGTTGATGAGCATACAGAATAGTTTATTATTAAATTCCTTAGATTTAAATGGAAAAAATTCTCATGTAGTAAATGAACATCATGTCAATCCACTGACAACTTTAAATAATGACAAAAGCAATAAACTAAGTGCATGTAGTATATTATCACCTTATAGGCAACGACACTCGTATCATTCAGAACAGCTTCAACAACAACCAAATATCTTTATTCGGTCGTCAGAAAGAAATCAGAAACCACTATCATACTTTCCATTACAATACACAGATGACAAATTGCTTTGGAATATATCATCGTCATCATCCAACAATGATAATCGAGAAAGTTTAAATCCTACTAAAAATATGCACTTGTTGAAACAACAGCAACAAGAGGAAACTTATGAGTCAAACCGATCAATAGATAATTATTTGGATCAAATGTAACGTGATTATATATTAAATATAAATCTAGAATGAACAGAAGTAGATACAATTTTGAAGATTCTTAACATTATTGTTGCTGTGGTAATATTAGTTGGAAGATCGAGTTCTTGGACTATGCAAACAATGTATTATAACATATCAACCTTCAATGAGACCCTATATTAATTACTTAGCAAAGTGTTTTTTTCATACTTTGTCAAAAAGGCTGGCTTCGAGAAGAAAATAGGGAAAAAATTTAGAGACAGTAGTAAAACAATAGTAAGAGAATACCAAGTGTATTCAATAACTGTACATAAATATACATTCTATTATCTTCCGCACATATCTTTCAGTATATATAAATAGAAAACTTTTCCATTTATACAGCCAATTTCTTTCTTCCATTTGACAGAGTACTTGCTTTCGCGTTTGCGATTGTTTAATAAAAATCATTCTTTTTCTTAGGATTAACGGTAATATTAATCATTAATATGTCAGATAATTGATTTCCTTTCATTGTTGAAACCCTCTGAAAACAAGAAGTCGCAATAAATAAAATAAATGAATGAAAAATGATTTAGTATGACTTATTCTTTTAACGGGTAATAGTATATCCAGAGTCAGCGTTCGATAGGCTTGTTTTGGTATCTGCACATTTTAGTGGGTCTAATGACTAAAATTATTTAATGATAATAGTTTAAATCTATTCGAATTAGGTCATTATCTCAACTGCTGAAGCAACAGCATCGAAACATGAATAAAAAGAAATAATTATATCATTCAATGTGATTCTTCATATTAGGTTTAAGAAACAACGAAACTTCACTAGAACAATGGTCTAAATCTTGTAGTTTATTTAAAAACCAGTCAATTACTTATGCTTGATGATTAATATTCAGTCTAACAGTATGATTAGCAAAAGGCTCAAGTGAGTTTTTTTCTAATCTCAATTTTCACAATTTGTTGACTAGATAGTGTTCTCGTGCTTGCAATCAATAATAACTCAACCAACGGATTTAAAATTCATCTATAATGAGTCGATGACAAATATATGATCTACTGGGCAAGCGATATAAAAACCGTTCTCAAATTTATCAATTTGCAAATGTGTATAAATTATAATTAACAAAGACAGTGGATAATACCCGCTCAATTTTGTACGGCAAATAAATTTACAGACCCGAAACATTGAATATCAAGCTAGTGATCTAAAGTTTAGACGTAAGCCGAAAAACATAAGTGGACACTGTCAAACATCCCTATACAAGGATCACATAGCTCCCTTTTTTACATTATACTACTTACTAATGTACAGTAACGTATATTGTTGTCAATCACTTTTGGATATATTGTGTCGCTTCGTTGCGTCGTGAGCTAATTCTAATTATGCACATGTACCTACCACATCTAGCAACTTAAGGACGAAAATGAATTTCCTTAACATTCTCCATAGTTTTTCTTCACGCCACGCGTGTTCATTGAACAGCCCTTTATTTGCAGAAATTTTTTATGGTTGGTGTACGTAGTTCCAGTTTTAATTTATTACCTGTAGTTGTTTTTGACAAAAATTCATCCATAATTATGGGAGGTAACTTCTTTAGTCTTACCTTTTCAAAATCATGTAGGTCAACCAAAAGAGTCTCCAATTTAACGTGTATTTCTTATAGATCCTAATATTACCTTACCAGGTTCATTGAGCTAGGTGAACTTTGATCTTTACAACCCTTTGCCAGTAAGGGTGGTCAGTAAGAGATTGGATTTCTCCGTGAGAAATACTCAGAAACTGAAGCAAAGCGACAAGTTCAGATATAGACCCTGTAGTTTTACTGGTTGAATTTCTTTGTCGAGAGATGCTAGACAATCTCACATGTAGCAGGTTATGTTAATAATTTTCTTGATCTATATTCCTCATTTAACCACAGTAGACGAACACTCTCAGGTCATTTTAGCGCTACTCAAAAGTCGTCCATAAATCATAGTTTCACCCACAAACTCGATTGCTGGCTAAAACGTACCTATTTCGAACAGTTAAAAGTTCTGGAAGATTTTCTTCACAGTATTCTTTTGTTCCTCACTTTGTCTTGTTTTCATCATTGATCAGTATATCTTTGAGTATTGTTTGTATCCATAGGTGTTAAGGTATTTTGTAACTGAAGTCAGTTTCAAGTGGCTTGGTCATGCAGGCGTGGTCCATGTTAAATGTCACCTCATATCTTTTATTCATAATAAATACATTGTTCTATCTCTAGTATAAGCTTGTTCTCCATCATGTATTGGTAATTGTTACGATGCGATGAGGTGATGTAGATAATAACGGGATTTCCACGTAAGATCTTATAGATTAGGCAGTTACATCACGACAAATCTACCATTTAAGGATTGGGTCTATTATTAGAGCAGTACTAGTATCATATAGACCCATTAGTTCTACAAATCCACAGTTTCAGTTCCGGATTCACATACCAACTCAAGACAAACTATGGGGGATCCAAGTCTGAGCGGTGTAGAGGATGTGATTAAGATACAAAGTAAGGTAAATGAATGGCTCACAGTCACATCTAAGAAGAAAAAAGTGAGAAAACAGAATGTGACCTCTGTGTTCGACACTAAATTAGAATAGGATTACAGAGAAGAGACGATTTCAGGAACCAAAATTCCGTAAGTCATAAGTTAAGAACATTCTCCGAAAAGGAACCAAGGGCTAGATTTCGGCTCGAACTCAGTCACATTAAGTCCCTAATAAGCAAGCTACTACCAGAAACAGTTTCAGAAATTAGCATCTGTAAGGTTTATAGAATAGGACAAAAGGTGGATTTTGAAAATATTCGGATAAACCTCCTCCTGAAGGTTACCTTTGCTGAGGTTGAAGAAAGAAACCTGATCCTGGGATACTCATGCAAACTGATTGGATCCAGAATATACGTCCGTGAGGATCTCAGTCTGGTTGACCGTATTAAGAGACGAGCTGCAGAAGTAGAAAGAAATGAGCGCCGCCGAATCGGCGAAAGTAACCTCATACTTAAGGAATTTCAAATCGTTAATGTTTGGAGCAAAACGGTCCCCGAACCACTCTGGGTGGTAAGCGAAACTTTTTCACAGAATTAAAGGTGTGCTACACAAATGCTCGCAGCCTGCCAAACAAAGTGGCGGAGCTCAAGACAATCAGGGACATAGAAAAACCGGTTGTTATTGCTGTCTCAAAAACATGGTTAACGTCAGAAGTGTTCGATAGTGAAATTCAGTTGGCTGATAGAACCATAGAGGAGGTTAGGTTATTCTGTACACGAAAAGCACCTTAACTATACGAGCAGTTGAGACAGTGTCACATGATTCAGGAACAACTCTAATGCACCTTATTTAAACTAGGTAAAGTTAGAATTACGGTCATGGACAACGTCATTCGATTGCAAACTGTAAGAAACCTCAATTGCATTAGCTTTATTCCAACACATTAGAGATCTCACCAGATATGATTTACAAACTCCTTTTCTCTTTTGGATTTAGTCTTTGCACACGGTGATGACGTCGGTCAAGTGACTTTCCCTCCACCACTAGGGAGAATCGATCATGAAGTCATTTAGTTGAAGTTTATGCCTGTGTTGACCTCTCAAATAGTTGCGCCGGCCCGTTCTAACAAATGGAAGGCATACATGGAGGCGACAAACTCTGCAGCATCGGCTAAAAACTGGATAGTTGACTCAGGGGCATCAGTTGAACAGGCATGGACTTATTTCAGGCAGTTATACAATCAGGTAACTCAACCATAAATACCCTGGACAGTCCCAAAGAAGAAGCACGGCCATCACTGGATAGGCCGGGATATTCGACGTTTACTAAGACAAAAGAATAAATGTAGCCATCAACATTGACACAGCAAGAACGATGGAACGCCGCAAGTCGGTAAAAAACAAGTGTATAATTAAAACTCGGGAAGCTCATAGGAAATATGAAATGCAGTTAGTACAATCTGCACTCGTACATAAATTACTGAACACGGATGCGGCATTGGATTTTCAAACTAATTAACGAAGGGAGTGGATAGGAAGTGATAGAGGAACATCAGGAAAAAACAGGGGCTATGGTAAACTATGTTTTGGCAGTTTTCACTCAGGAGCCTCTTTTACATGAAGAACTAGACACAATTACAAATTCCACAAACCGTCTGCCCATCGTGGACTTTGATCGAGACGATGTACTTAAGGCTCTCAGCACCTTAGATACGGAAAAGTCAACAGGACCAGATGAACTACACCCCAACATCCTGAGACATACTGCAAAATGTATCGCAGCCACAATTACTGTGATATTTAATATGTCACTTGAACAAGGTGTATTACCTAGGGACTGGAAAGATGCAATCGTCACTCCAATACATAAAACAAGACGAAGACAACGTCCATCGAACTACAGATCTGTCAGCAGGCTCACCAGTATCGTAGTTAAAATACTGGAAAGAATAGTATAAATGACCATAATGACATTTCTGAGAACCAACAACTTATTAAACAGCAAACAGTATGGTTTCAGAAAGGGTTTGTCTTGTACGACAAACCCCCTTATAGCACGAGAGCATTGGATAAAGACGCTAGACCACGCAAGCTCAGTGGTTGTTGTCCACATATACTTTAGAAAAGTGTTGGACAAGGTGCCAACAAGTAGACTGCTATTAAAACTAGAAAGTCTTGGCATTACTGAACCTTTCTTGAAATGACCTAAGGATTTCCCAGTAGGTCGTGACACGAAGTAAGAATAAATTCAAAGTGATCCACCTGGAGACCAGTGCTTGGTAAAGTACCGCAAGGTTTTGTTCTAGGTCTTTTTTATACTATATGTAAATGATCTCCCAAGTATAATGCAGTCATTAATGTTACTATACGCTGACAACGTAAAAGTCTGGCGAGAAATAACGAGAGATGCAGGTGCATGTGCATTTCAGGTAGACTTAAATAATGTGATTTACTGGTCTAAAGAGTGGCTGATGCCTATTAACGCGGCAAGGTGTGTCCACATCCCTTTTTGGGATACAAAGGTTGATAGGTAGAGGAAAGGGTTTAGAACCATATAGGCTTTAAGACGGACATTCACTAGGTTAGATACCACAATGTTCACTACAGTACACACAACCTTGGTGAGAATTAAGCTTGAGAACTGCGTTCAGGCTACAAACCCCTGTTTGAAAGGTGACTCGAATATTCTGAAAAAAGTATAAAGGGCAGCTATAAAGTGCAATTCCAGAACTCCGGGGTTTCTCATACCAAGAGCGGCTTGAAAAGCTAGAACTCTTCACCCTGTCCTATCGCAGACTAATAGGTGGTCTAATTTTGATGTATCAAATACTAATAAATGATTTGATTCTAATATATTATCTCTTTTTCTTCCTACTAGATCGGGACATCTCAGAGGACATAGCAGGTAAGTAGAAAATCCAAGAACGAACGAAGTACCGTGGCGTACAGGTTTTCACACCGAGTCATCAATTATTAGAACCTGTTACCCAGAGTAATGGTGTCCGCATCTTTAATTGGCTCATTAAAGAGAAAACTGGACACTCAGAGAAGCATACTAGAGAAGAAATAACTCACGCCGTAGGTCTTCAGTCGTTACTACACAAATCTGAATCTGAAAGAACGAAACGTGATACATGTATACATAAAAAAGAATTTAATTTATGAGTCTTAAACTAACCCATTAAAAAGGTGTGCAAGTTAAAATTGCGGACTTTCATGATATAAAAATACTAGTTGTTTTATCCGAAAATTGTTCTAGTAACACTGCACTGCATCCCATGAAAACATAAAAGTTGATGTTAAAACTATTTTTCTATCATCAGACACCTAATTCTTCATCGAAATTTACATGTAAGGAATCGATCAAAAACTTACTGTTATCTATTTCTTTTTCTAACTTTAGGGTTTGGCGAAAATCCAATTCGTTTCGTTTTGGCGGGTTGATCCCTTTCATTACTTTATTTGTTAAATGCCATCTATAGGTTTAGAGTTGATTTATCCACCTAATTGTAAGCCCATAAATGACGATTTGTCGAAAGAAGAATTAAGAAGACGCCTGACTGTATGCATTATATTCATCATTATTCTTCAGGAGCTTTGTAACGCACTAGACAATGTTATCGAGGAAGAAGGAAAATCGACTGAAACTTCACTGGATGGGGAGAGATTATCGCTTTCACAGGACCATGCAAAATATAAGGGACTGTTTGTTTTGCTTGGATCGCCAGAGTTCCTGAAAAATGCAGATAGAGATATTCAATTAAGAGTCGGTGTATGTATTTGCAAGCTACTTAAAATATTCTGCCCTTGCAACCCTCTTTCTGGTTTATCTGAGGAAAAAGTCCTGACAAAAGTAATGTCTACTTCCTAAACTGAGTTTCTAGGAAATCCTGTTTTTCTTAATTGATTGTATCGGATTACTTTCCAACGTGAAGACGAAAACCGACGCTGTATACATTAAGCTTCATACAATGATTTATGTATGTTTTAAAATCTCATAACGTCCTCACTTAGATCTGTGCTCAAATTGATGTCTTCATGTGGTGTTCGTTTTTGGAAGATGAATCTGTCCTATTTGGCTTTGTCAAAATGGTTTTTGCTATTGTTAAGTATGATTCATTTTACAAAATAATAGTGGTAGAAACCTTGATGTCTGGTCTTGGACTGATAATTCCATCGTTCGCCAGATGATTTTGGATATGGCTGTTAAGGTTATCATCCAGTCTGAGAAATTCCTGTCTTCTGACGTAGTCACTTTTATACTTCAGTATCTAATAGAACCTGCAAAAAGTACTCAACCGGCTCAGCATACATTCGCTCGAGACTTAATAATAAGGACTGCTGATCAGTTAGAATACCGAATTCAAATGGTAAGTTAATTATCTAGTATTTCTTAAATACAAGTTATTGCAAAACTCCTTAATTGTAGGTAAATGTAATGGAACCCAAATGAAAACTGAAAGTAAACCCATCCGTCCTCCTGAAGAGGTTTTGGAAGACAGCAGTGAGGGAATATCTGATGTGAATGAATCTAAGGATGATGAGGGAAATCCTGATCTACTTGGAGAGCACGCATTTCTCATTATATACGCTCTGCACACAATACAAAGCAGTATAGTAGCTCCAGTCCTTCCGACTATTGAGTTAAAGCTAAAGTCACCTATTGTACGTGAGCGTAAACGATCATTCAGATTATTAGCACGCCTATTTTCTGAACCGGTATGTATTTACGTTTGTTATATTGAACATTTAAGAATTCTTTACTTCACAGGAGAAATCCAAGTCTTTGGGATGCATTCCTGGGGCGCTTCAATGACATTGATAGTGAAGTCCGCAAGTTATGTATTCACATGTTGCCTCAGCTTTTAAAACAAAACCAGGATTTGCTTCATGAACAGTTACTGACAAATTTTCAACAGCGCATTTATGATCCCGATGAAGGTTAGTTTTATCATGTTATGGCTGAATGTAATTAAGTTCATATATAAGGTTTAAGGAAGCAACCTTATCGTATTTCACCTGGTCGCTTCATACCGAACGTTTAAGTGTCTTAAGTAAATGATTATTGCCTGAAATATTTAATTCTACAAATGTTCGTTTGATAAGGAAGTCGCTAACTAACATGTCCTTGCTCCGACTACAATGATATCTCAAGTAATGCGGCGGATCTACGGAATCAGCTATCACTAAGTGTTGACATATGAGTCAATTCATTAACTGCTTGTTGCAAAAGTCAATAGCTAGCGAATAATTTTTCGGACTCGTAAACATTTTTGTCCTTACAAATGTGCAGCATCGAAAGCCTGTGAAGTTAATCAGTCAGCTACATCGTAGGACCAGTCAAATAGATGTATCGATCCAAGTCGCAACACTTCATTAGCACAAGGTGAACACCAAATTCATAGAAGTAGTTACACGGAGGAAGAATTAGTTCGTAGAAAGAAAGGTATAAAGTAGTTTCAATCTCACGGTTTGAGGGAAAACAAAGGTTTTATATACCTACGCCGTTGTGACCGACTCTGAGCCATGTCACACACAGTCTCCAACCATTGGTTACGGTAGTCGCGAAATCATTTTTAAGTAGTGAGTTGTAATAATGTCATTCAGGATTTCTGTATATGTCATCAAGAATGTATTTAGTGTAGTTAATTTTATATCACAAAAAACTTAGGATTCGTAGTCCCAGGCTTTTACGCTTCTTTCTATATTTTTTCAGCACATCATACTCCTTAAACTAACTGCTCAAGCCTAAGTCAGCCAAGAAAAGTCCACATCTGTAATCTGGTTTTTGAAATTCACATATATAATCGGGAGTCTACCACTCTATACACGTGGATTCATATTTCTTGTTGTTACTTTTTTATAGTTAAGAATCTAGTATAGTTCTAACCCTGCCAATTATTTGTTTTAATAGTAACATAATGTTTTCATAACGTCTTTCTTTATTCATAGAAGTCCGACTTTTAGCTTTAAAAACAATGACTGGTCTTATTAAACAATCTGAAAGTGAAGTTAGCGACGATGCATTCGAATTGTTAAAGGAGCGTTCTCGAGACAAGACCCTGTCCATTCGCAAAGAAGCTTCTTCCGCTTTAGCTTCGTTGTATAAAGGTGGTTTGCAGTCTGGATGCTTATCTGCTACAAAGTCAGCTTCCGCACTAAATACAATTTTGCACTTGTACTATCAAAACTCAACTGATGACAAGTTGGTTTCAGATATATTCCGAGTTCCTATAAGTTTTGAATATTTTTGTCCTTACTTTGGGACATCTTTCGGATGTAACCATCGACTGAGGCATTGTTTATTTATCGATTCTCCAATGTATTTTCGGGAAAATACCGTCTTACGTTTCCCATAGTTCAAACTGAGATTTTTAGTATTCTGTTCTTTATTGTGTCCTTACCGTATGATATTTATTCATATACAGCGACTCGTTATTATTTATTTATTTATTTATTTAACACATAAGTATAGGTACAGGGAGGCACCAAGTACATATGCGCCACACGAATCTCAATTGATTTGTGTGAGGGCTGTGATACTGCCCGGGTGCCCAAACCGAAGCAGGTGGTTTTCTTAGGGGACCACACCCCGAGCCTTCGACCTGAACGTCTGACCCACAAGGCAGTGGAGCATCGTAAGGAGATGCAGTCCCATGGTAGCCGGTGACCAACGATTGGTTCATACGCCATTTGTTCCTTCAGGATACTGGAGCCCATGTGCACCATTGGTTTTGGGTCCGGTTAAAGCGCCGGACATTCGCTTTTCGTCCTCTCATTTTTGTAAACAACACCCCCGCCACGTTAAGGCAGTGAGTAGGACTTCCCTGGCAGAGGCTATATACGCATGGACATGTGAGAGCATTTCGAGAGGGAGAGCGGATTCTCCCCACTCTCGGCCGTACCAGCGACTCGTTACCACATGTTGATTGACAGATTCAGGTTTAAGCGAGATCCTTGGGAGTTAGTGTAGTAATTCATTTCATTGGTGAGACCAGTTTATGAACAACCTTTGAGTGACACTAAAGTTACCTTAGGAAAATCTACCTACTTGCTGCGGTCTAACAAAAGTTATAAATTAGTGTGAGTAATCAGAATTAGGACTCAAAGTTAAAAGGTTTTCACCACGAATTGACATCAGCTATGGTGCCAAAACACTATTTAGCCATATGAAAGAATAAATTTCTCGCCAAAACTTAAGATTCGTTATCCTAAATCTGATCAGTCTCAACATAGATCATTGTCTCACCATTTTATTCGCAGTTATTAGTAGATTGCCTTATTACTTTGACCTCGGTGTTTATGATATTCCTAATTGAATGGTACATTTTTCCGTCACACCATCTCATTGCTTCTCTGATCCCACACAAACTAATAATCCAGGTTTATGGGTTAGTGTAGCTGTGTTTGATTCTGCTAGTTCAGCTTTTGTGCTAATATTGTAGTGTCCAGATTTTAGTCATCATTCCTATGTATAAACTAGGTATTAAGCACTTCGTTATATGTTAAATATAGTTATGTTCTCTTTCTTTTGAAACTTTTGTTGTTAGAATATGTCAACCATATCTTTAGCTCTTTTCTAAGGCCTGGATCCCAGTGATCATACAAGAGTTGTGCATATGCTCGTTGAATTTTATGGTTTATACGAGATATCCCAAAGAGAACTTTCAAATTTCACTCCACTATAGTTTTGTTTTGTCGTATAATTTTTATAAGAACATTTAGTTTATTGATTATTTAACTTTATCAGCTACCTGTTGATATCCCATAGACTGTGATTAAGTTCCTGGTGTATTTTGTTTCTTTCTGATCTTAGATGCTTTGTAGTCTGTAGATTAAGAACAACAAAACATCTCGCTGTGGATTTCATAAATAACTGTTGGTTCTGTTGTAGTAACAGACAAATATTGTCAAGTTCCTCAATGAAAATTATTTGATATTTTAGGAGTAGTATTATCATTACAGAACACTAGGAGGTTTGGCAATAAAAAGAACTGTTCGGCTTTGTAGTAATCTTTTAGAAACTTCAGATTTGGTCATTTAGTTTCTTTTTCATAGTAACAAATTTGATTCTAAGATATCCTTTTGTCAATAATTGCTTTATAGGCTTATCGTTGAACGGTTATTAAAGAGTTCAATCATTCCGTACAATTTTGAAAATGCTGTCCGTGTGCAAGCCTTATTCCGCTGTTACAGTTTGATGGATGAAGCTTCAATCAAAGCTATGCAGGAAATTTTTAAGACCCAATATGTGTAAGTCTACCAGCCTGTTTTAGGAATCCTGTTGAGGTTTAGATTATTATGTTATTTATAAAATCTTGTGTTGCGGAATTTTTGGGTTTATGCCCATGATACTTTATGATGCCCATAAATACATAATATTTTATTTGTGTTATGTGTCTCAGGTGGGGTATTCCAGTACAACTAGTTTGTAGGCTTCACTTGTAATCAAATAAACAACGAAGGAATAGGACAATGGGAAATTTTCATTTCCCATAGTTTGAGCTACTTTAATAGAAAAAATTCCAGGTATCACATGATCCACAGCGACCTTCAGATATTACAGAGCCGAAATCAACTGACGTAAAGAAAAGTGATAAATCCATTGTAAAATGGCATGTATAATATTAGCCAACTCCCCAATATCCTAACATTTTCAAAGAAATATTTAAGTTCTATTTTGCTTTACCGATTGTCACCACAGTCACTAATCTGACTCAGAACTCTCAGCTGACTTGGTTGTATGCCTTCGTTTATGATTATTTTTGGGAATACATTTTAATGCTGGGAGAGTAAATCCGCTATGTTATCAACTCACTTCTAAATCATGTTTGTCGGTAACGACCTGAACATTTTGAAATATTTTCTTATTAGTGCCCTCAAACTTCTTCGTGATGTTGTCAAGTTGTTAACTGACCAACGTGATGCAAAAATTCCTTCCGAAGTTAATACTGAAATAATGGGTGTCATACAGCATCTTAGTGGTAAGTACCCAGAAATGTTCTCTTATTTTGTACGATTTTCCTTCAAATATGGGTTTCGTTTTATAAATTCATTCGTTATTTTATTTACGTAATTCATTTTGAAGGCAACATTCCTATCGGAATCCTCATGTAAGATTTCATTAGTTTTGAATGCTTTATACAATCATAACTGAAAATAAAAGTGTACGACTATCTACACCTGTTTTCTTAGATTAATAGTTTAAATGAACTGAATTATCTTACATTGCCATTCCTCTATAAATTTACTATCGGATTTATGACATCCCAAATAGTGTTCAAAGAAAAGTCTACAATGACATTATTACCCGTAGAAATGTTTTTTTCTTACTTTAAACGTATAAACTATATAGCAGTTACGTTCCATATTATGATGGTTTTATAAACTATACTCCCTAAATTAGTATTTATAAGTGGGGTGTTTTACCCCATTCAAGTGGTAAATACTAAGAAAATTAACATTCGTTTTTTCTTGAACTTATGTTTGATAATGAGTCTGAAAATAATCTGAAGGTCCATATACTTGAATGAATATCAATGTACAAAAGACAAAAGTAGTACCTGTATCACTTGCGTTCAAGACTTTACATAAATTATGTTGCAGTTTAATTTCATATGTTTAAACAAGTGTGATTATTTTACCTGCTAGTATTTAAGTTATCAGCAACCGCAAAATTGCTAAGTCATTCCAAGTATTTGCAATATTCTGTTCACAGTTTGAGTAACTTGCTCTATGAGTTCATCGTTGATCCGTCTCAATTTTCATATATTAGGTTATCACCATCTTCGAAGCAATCTCTTATGCTTTTATTAGTTTAGCTACACTTACAGATTTCAGATACTTAGTAATTCTCCAGGTTTTACATTAAGCTACTGTCCATGATCATTATAGTGGTCCGTGTTTCGATTTATCTCATTTCATATTATATATAAAAGTCATCACTTATAGACTGTTTCTGTTAAAAAAAATTTGATCCCTTGGATTCCTTCAATCGTTTAGGTAGATTACCAACTTTGTCTTCAACAGTCTATGGTAAATTCTTTATGATACCAGACAACTATTCTTTCTTCACTTTGGGCTTCATTCGTTGAATTTATTAGTTGTAACTTATAATAGTGCGAGGTCAAAGAAGATTCTGTCGTCTACAAAACTATTTTTAATTTACTGTATTACCTAGGGTTTCTAAACATTTATTCCAGTTGATTAATCATGTACGTCAATAATGTTTTCAAAATATGAAGTTACCCGTAAATCTTGTAAAGATTTCAAACGCCATATACTTTATCATGTGTTTAATGTCAGTGTAAGTATTTTTTTAATACTGTAGGTTCATAAAGCCAATATCAGTACTTACCTTCTATCGATTTTTCAATCTCTATAATCCTTTTGTTTTTTTTTTCTATCAAAGTTTTAATACCGAAATCAGAAAAGTCAGTTGAACATCTGAAACGTTTCTTCAATCAAGTTCATACAGATAAAACACTATGGAATCATTTAGTTAAACTGACTAAGCCACAAACCGCTTGTGCTCAGGCAACAACAGCGTTAGTAAGTATTTATCGTTCTGATTACCAGTATTTATGTTACACATATATTAAGTCAAACTGTTACCCGCATCGGGTTTCAATTTTTGACAAATCACTGTTTCTGTTATATTTCTGATCCTGTTTTTTATTTTTAGAGAGATATATTAAAAAAAATAGGGACGGCAGCAGAAAATCCCAACAGTGTCAATGATAACCAAACAAACTACGCACGTGTTGTAAAAATTTTACTGGAACGATGTGCACCTGTTCTTTTTGATCGTAATTTTGGCATGGAATTAGTCAATCAGTTATATATCATCAAGAAAACTGGTTGCTTATCTGGAACTGCTGGACGTATGAATGTGACACGTTCACTACGTTTATTACTTGCAGTGTCCGTTTATTTTAAAGTGAGTTGATTATTCACTTTTAGTAAAATTATGCGTTGTCGACTTTCTGAACGCGTAGTTGGTTTCGAGACTATTGGGAAAATGTTTTAACATCAATTAAGAAAATAATAATAGAGTTATTAGGAAATTAGTGACTATACATAATCTTTTATTCAATTTAACAGTATATTCTCGAGAAACTTCTTCCCTCTCACTGTAATTGTTATAAAGTGGATTTTCCACACTTAAGCTTTAAAGTTGGTTTATAAACTTATTGGCTTATCAAAATCATCCATGGTCGTTGTTTTAATTGTACTGATTTTCACAAAGTTCCTCCTCTTTGTATTAATTTTATCGATTTAGACCTACATAAAAACAGTAGTACAGTGTTATTTGTTGTACCTAGGGTTTGGTTACTGAGTAATAGATTTGCCTCTAAAATAAACATTTTCATTTATCTCATATAATAAAAACAATGTTGAATTATAAGTGTAATACAACTTATTGATTAAATACATTTGTACGTTCTAGGGTTTGGACCCTCTTTCCGCTCAGACGTGGTTGCAGCTGATCTACTTTATCTCTCGACTGATAAAGGAATAAAACTATCAGGGTCCGTTCTCGATTGATTTAGAGCTGAGTTGCTAGTCCACCAAGTTATAACAGCGTTAAAATATTTTATTGATTTGAAATTAAATTACATAGTCCCGGTAATTTGTCTAGTATAGTCCGTATTGTATAGTAATCTCTTTATAAGAAAAAATGAATTATTTTCTCTTGATTATCTGAGAAGCTAAGTTAGATGGCTTCTTGCTGAACTGTGCAATATATGGAAATAGTCATACAAACCATATATCATTAGTATGAATCAATTATAAACTACCTTGTCTGATGGCAACCTAATTGTCACCATCTTTTTGTTAGTTATCACCTTTTACCCTATATAATTATTTCATTATCACTACCATTCCTGTCATTTTAATTCACAACTGTTTATTATATTTTTTTGCATCAAAATCTAATTAACTTCAGGAGATACTACCTTCAAATAAAGTTATGGATTACTTACTCTGTATTTTATCTGATGAAAACTCGTCAGTGCTTAATGATGATAATGATGAAAATGTATCATCGTCAGCTAATTCAGATTCTTATGACGATTCGTATACATTACAAGAAATAGCTTTAAGTGTAAGTAAGAAGACAATATTTCGTGTACCTTTATTCCATTCAGTCCTCATTATCATCTGATATGCAGTTATATTTTTTTAATGATTATTTTGTTGGTATTGAACTATATGCTTTTGGCAAAAAACATAATTTCATTATTTATTATTCAGTAAGTCTTGACATACATGATTTTCAACAAGTACATTTTATTTGAAAATAACACTTTAGGGATATATCATATAAGATATTTACCCATATATTTGATAGATTTATACTCGACCAATAATTGGAATTAATGTTACATGTGAAAATCTAATTTTAAGTTATTACTGTCGTTAATTCAAACAGTGTTAACATACATTCTCATTATACAGCTGAATAATATTTAGATAAATATTAAAGCTTGCAATAAGTGATTCTTAAAACATATCCGTTTCAGTGTAACTTGGAATTGTTAACCATTAAGAAATTATGATGTAGACTTTTTAAATTAATAATAATAATGTATTAAAAAACTACAGTGTTGTAGTAAAATATAATTAAATGACTTTTTATGGTATGAACCTGAAATCACTTACTAGTTATCATTCAATGAGTCCTGCATAAGACTACACAAATAATTTAGAAATAAAACTATTAATATATTGTAAAGGGATTCCAAATGGCATTCATAAACGAAGCCGAATTTACATCTAGCATAATCTTAGAGAGTGAAGCATGTAAGTTCTTCAGAGTTAGATAACTGTCATCTAATTTTTCACATAATCCACAACTCAGCATTCATCCATTTCGTTTATTTAATAATGAATTCAATGTGTCTACAATTTCACCAAACCTGAAGTTTGATACTTTAGACTTACAGTCATTAGAATTTGACTGTGCACCTTTCCAGTTGTTTCTAAGTGACGATTGTAAATCTCTTAAAGTTTCACGAAAATTCTGACATTGTGCTGGTTTTATCACACGGTTTAAGTTTTTTGAGCTGATTCCAACTTGTTACTTATTTAGCAGTTCTCTGTCAAAAAGGAACATCATAATAAATCGAAGCAGTTTACTCAAAGTTCTATAATATAACAGTTGATCTGATCTGTTGTTACTATGATCAAGTGGTGAAATCGGTAAGAATCAATGCGTTTAATAATTAGGTAACATCCCAGAGGTTTTGAAAATCTATAATCTATAGAAAAATCTCATTTGATCTAGTCTCATTGGCACTGTACCAACTGCTTTTTCTTAATTGCTGTATAGTGTCTTGCTAAAAGATACACAAACTGTAATAGGTACTCATTTTATAAGGGAAATGAATCTCAAACCATGCCCGTTTCACAATACTGAAGTTTGATACCAGGTTAATTTCTAATGTCGAAAGTATATTCTTATTTCAGTCCTATGAATAATTCCGCTCTACATTAATTCATTCTGATATCTAAGCAGTTTTCTTATTAGAATTGTTACTAACGTGATACGAAACATTTGGTTGTCGTCTAACAATTCTGCAGTCAAATATCATCTGTTTAGTCAATAAGAAAGTATCATCTTTCTGTTACAATTTCATATTTCCATGCTTAATGATGTAATCCTTTAAAATCTTTTTGTAGATCTTATGTTGTATACTTGGTGGGGGTCCAAGTGGAACATTTAGTAACACTGACTTAACTGAGCCTCTTCAAAATATCGCTGACAAACAAAATCTCAGTATTTATGCTCAGTTAACTGAACGTTCAGACGAATTATTACCAATTTTACGTCGTTTTTGTTGTACAGGAATTGTTCCCATTTCTCTGGAATCGTGTCAAAATAGAGAAACTGCAGAAAAGTCTATAAAAAGTAAATCTAGTGAAACTTTATTTGCTGTTTGATGAATAAGAAAGACGTGTTATACTTCCTGATTAGTTTTTTTTCCAGAAAATAATTTGGCTTCATTTCAATTTATTAGCTTATGATTTTCTCTTTAGTTATTGGGAAAATAACTGTTATAGTGTACATCAATGATTGAACTTAAATTTGACAGTTTTTTTATTTTCTCGTATACTTCCAATATTTAGATAATCGAAAAACAACAAAACATGGAGTAAAAATTCCTTCACCCAACTTAATAACAGAAGCTGTTTCGAATAGTGGTGTTGTTTGGCGTCGTGAACGTCGTCGTTCCAAGCTATCAATACGTATTTTGTTTTGTCTATGCAACGTTGTACGTCATTTATTAAATTCGAAGAGTAAATCTGAAACAAACAATATAGATTTGGATGAAGAATCTACTATATCAGTGAATGATGATTTAACTGATGAACTGAAAAGATTATCTGCTTTAAAATCTAAAATTAATGAAATTCTCAATGATATTGTTCAGGTTAAGTAATTACATTATTTATTGTTGAAATGATAAATTAGTTGATTTCAGGTTTTTAATGGGAGAGAAATTTCCTTCTTGCCATATTTTAATAATTTTGGTTAATATTAGCCTTTTAAAATTCAATACATTTTTACGTATGATATTTCTCACCTCACTAATAATTAATGTTATGTTTGGAATAATTTTAGCTACAGAATTGTCATATATGTTATAGCAACTCTCCTATAGTCAATTTCGATTATAGTTAAACTTTGATAAATCCTTTTATTAACTTACTTAACAGGCAATATTATTCGAACAGTAACAATTCGTCTATTTCTTTGTACTCTTGATCACATGACAGCCTATACAGATATATCTCTCTAGCTTAAATGTCGCTCGATAAGTCATTCTCTTTCCCATGTATATATATTTACTCGAATCATATTATTAGTCTTTGTATTTCCTATCTGCGTCCTGTACTCGATTCGACTATAAATTTGTTTGTCTTCGCTCGCATACACACATTCACCTATCTGCTTCGAATTCGCTCTATGTGCTTGTAGCTTTTTTATCCGCGCTATCCTCTAATAAACTGTAGTCGCCGCTTTTTATTGTCTTCTGATTTCAAATACTGTTGGGATTTATATAATAACGGTTATTAAGGTGATTGATTAGTGAAGCTAAGCCACTACAATGTTTTATATTCTCTCGTTAGTGTGTACACTCAACTGTCGTAAACTTATTCTTTAAGATTTATCTTAGGCATGATTTTGTCTTCACTCCGAGTCTGCATTATCTATCAGAAACAAGAAATATACTTTTAAATTTGATAAATCCACTTATTTTCTATTTTGAAGTCATTTTTAAGAGTTAATCATCAATCTAACTGCATGACATACAGAATGACATTAAAACTTGAAGAAATTTTTCGATTTAAAAAATTGATAATTAATGATAATCCAGGATTTCCTTTTTAGAGATTATAAACACATATCCAAGTATTCTGACAAATTATTGTATTATACTGTCACTAATTCTATAATAACTTCTGTTATTACTGTTGATAACATTGTCGTTCCATTACAATTTAGTATTTAGGCCTAGTTTAAATGATATTCATTTTTAGAGAATCAGTTACAATGGTAACAGATCAAAAGTGATTACAAATCAACAATGATTTACATTGTTGTATACGAGGTTATAAATGAAACATTATGTGGTAGTTAATATTACTTATTGAAAAAATTCCCTTTTAATTTGTCTTTCTCCTTAGAAACTTCACAACTGACTAGTTCATTTTTCCCCTCAAGTTTTTGTATCAATCACTTGCTATTACTGTGAAGTGTATCTGTTGTTATCTCATAATTTGCATTATAATACGTCTTATGATTGGTCTGTTCCTTACTGTTAATGTTACCCTAAATGAAAACCTGTAGTATTGTGTTGGATTGTTTATTAACCAAAACTAGCCACTTCTAACAAAAAAATTCCATTGATAATTATTAATATTATTTTGCTTCTAAATTTTCTCCTATTAGGTTTGTATTTCATGCCCTATTTTATCTAACGATTACATATCTTGCCTCACTTCATTAAGCCATATTGCTTTATTATTTCCTGATGTATACAACGAAGATATTAAAAATTTCATTACGAAATCTTTGGTACAACAAGTATTAACATTTGAACCAGACGATCTGCCAAATCAAGAACAAGAAAAAGATAAAACGCCAATAAACAGTGTGACATCAAAGAACTTGTCAAATCAATCCAAAACTGAATGCAATGCTCTTAGTTCTTGGTCACCTGATAGTTTAATCAGTAACTTAACTAGAGCAAAGGTAAACACTACTGAGTTTCTTCCAGTATTTCTTATATGACCCATAACTTTCTTTAGTTTACTACTAAATAAGCCAAAATCAATTAGCTTCTTATTTTCAAAACCAATCATAAGTATAGTAATGTATCCCATTTACTAATTACAGGTTCACTCACTCAATTTCAAGCCTCATCTTTTTTACGAGGGTTTATACTATTCTATGATTAATCAAATAAAAGTAAATGGAACGGGTATGAACCTGACACCCTGTTAACTAAGAGCCTAGTCTTTAACCCCCTAGCCTAATGTAGCATTCTAGAACTCTGTGATGAAAAAGGAATTTTCCATGTTTCTACCAAAGTATGAATTCCGAGTAAGACAAATAAAGAGATTTTATCATACTGAGCTGGGACAACTTTATGACTAAATTCATTTGTTCGTACAAACAATTGTGTGAATCACTCAGATTGCAATCGAAGTCTATAAAATCCATGTGATGAGTCATTATAGATATACATGCACATGTCTTTTATTTATAGTTGACTAATTAGATGATGAACATGTCTGGATTTATTTTCTTGCCTGTCCTGAAGGTCATCAGATTTATAATGAACTGACAATACAAAAAAATATCATTTTCTTCTAATTACAAAATATGTCTTCAGTATGCCGTTTCTTATTATCTAGGGCTATTGTAATTAAAAGACAATAATTTTGATATTATCTTTTCCACACCTCTGTATAACTGATTGAAATTTATTTTCAGTAATCCATAAGTCACATTAAAAAATTTATGTTTATACAGTTCTAGTGACATTATATAGTTGAGTGGATACTTCATTATATATTAATTACCTTTGATTGTTCAATTTTGTTGATTAATTTCTCTGGACAACAATAATTGTTTGTATTGTTCCTCCGGATTTTTTAATGTTCTGGTTTTCTATGAGTTTTGTGTTGGTAAAACTTATTGCTAGTGAGAAGATTTATGTTATCTAGCAGAATATTTACTGATACGGAAAAATTCATTTGTAAATCACAAATCTTTCCAATATTATTCTATTGAACATATCATCTATTGTCCATTACTTGATATTTTCAATTCAGAAAATCTTACGAGTTTGCTTAATCTTAACATATTTCTGTTTATATACTACTTACGTAATTTCATCACCTTAAACATCAATGAGATTCCTAGATACGTTTATAAAATCAAATGTACAATGTAGCAAAACTTATTATTCCTATATAGAATGAATCTTATCTGTTAAAGTTAAATGGTACCCAACTTAATATCATAATTAGAGTGCTTCATAAATACTATTCACCTATCCATGTATTGATAGTTGTTGTGTTTTGTAATGAGAAATACGAATTTCAATTTATGTTAAAACAATACTTGTAAATGACGACCTTACTGTTGGATTGCAATTTTATTTGTTTAAATAGTATTATTATATATTTATAATCAAGTAGTTTGTTTATTAGGTTAAAACAATTTAATCCTATTCTATCTTCCAGATTTCAGCTATTAAACTAATAACAAATTGGTTAGTAGGTTTGAAAAATGAAGTGAAACCTGTTGTTCAAGTTATTATTCGACTTCTTTATCGTATAATCATTCATGATGGCGATTTAACAAAAGGTGGTAAATTATCGTAAGTTTTAAAATCGAATAATTGTATCAAGTACTAAAATATGAACCATCTACAAAATTTCATTGTATCCTTTCGGCTCAGGGATTTAGAGTTTAAGGGTTCGTGCGCAAGACTAAAAGTCCTAGGTTCGAGCCCAGTTTGTGGGATCGTGAATGCTCACTGTTGGGGAGTTCCATACTAGGACGAAAATACTGTCTATTACTTCCAGGTTTTCAATATTGGTCTTATTTAGATCGATTTGTGATTTCAATGAAATCCAACGATCTCCACAATCCCATACTGAAGATTTACGAAATTATTGGAGTGAAGTTAATTACATTTCGATGTGCTGAAAATTATGGATTAGTAGATCTCTATTTTACTTTTTATTTTGTCTCGAAAACATTGTTAAACATTTGCTTTCTATTGGAGTTTCAGGACTAGAGTTCCTTTGATTAGCGTATTTTTAGCATGTTTCTTCTTTACAGGATTAGATTGCTAAACACCTCATACTCAACCCACCTCGTTTATTCGGGTTTAAGACCGTCAGTAACCCCAGAAAAACTCCAGATGGAGTTTTAGAGGTTCTCTAATTAATAAATATCCATCTATTTGCATATCTTACACATTTTCTTGAAATTTACATAATACCAATAATTTATTTAGCTTCGTTTTCAACCAGTGTTATGCAAAGTTAATAGATACGATTATCATTGAGTTCCTATCGTTTACAAATAGTTCGCCAGTACTCTAAAATTCTAAAGTCTAAGTGGATTCTAAGATGAATGTGTTTTAGTTGTTCACTACAGGAAACTGAATATTCATATTCACTATACTGTATAATTGGCTGTTTTAATGAGAATACAAACTTAAAAATTCATTTTAAAGCTAGATGAAGACGATATAAATCATCAACCTTTTCTTGCATGGAAGATATCGTTTGAATTCTACACACTATCGATTACTGTCATATAACTTCCATAATAATTCAGCAATGCAACTCTACGGTAGTCCTCATGATAGACAATTTCAATATTTCCTGTTCCTTCTATTACGGCTGTTCGATCACATATATTTCTTTTTAAAATTACCCATTATTCTGTGTTTTGAAGTTGTAAGATCCTTAAGTCTGGCAGCGTAATTACGCTATATTTCTGTGAACTGCATTAAAATTATACCTAATAAAGTAGTAAATTTTGTTTCACTTTCAATAATTGCAGTTGCCAAAACACATCCGTTCATTTATGTGTATTACGTTTAGATACGGTGAAATGTCAAGGCTGCGCTTAGTTGCCGCTACATCCTGGTTAAAGCTTGCACGTTCTCAGGCTTATATTGAATGTATTGAAATTGGGTGGTATTTGTCAATGAGCTATATACTTTGTGTAAGTTTTTCTAGAAAGATCATTGCTTTACCATTAATTGTTTAATAATGTTTAAATCTGAATATTTTGAGCATGTGTATGTGTTGTGTGTTTTGGTAACAACGTCATCATTCCCTAGATCTATGTTTTTCAATCTTTAACGCATACCAGTTAGGGATACTTAGAACCTTCGCATTTCTTGAAGAATTTCAATTCGCTTATACACACGTAGTCACAGAAGTGCTCTAAATAATCTTTTTCTAAAGATTCACCTGGTGTCATATTAAAATAAATAAAATTATTGACTATCCTTTTATATTCGTTCTACCAATTAAGTTCACAAAGATCTCATCAAATTAGATGACTATGTTACATTAAACTTTATAATATGGTTGAAGTTTGTCGGTATGCTATTTTTTGTTTATTACCACTTATTTTCTATCGAATTTCAACTAATGCTTTTCGTTCTCTTTTCTATTCAAGGATCCATGCCCACAAGTGCGTTCACACTTCCTAACTAAACTCAATCAGGGTTTATATAAACTGAGTCTTCCTCTTGAGTACATGGCTATTTTCGCACACTCTGCTAATGTTTCAGAACCTGCATTTAAACAACGTGCAAAACAACTTTTTATTGCGAATATTCAACGCCGTCGAGCATTTTTAAATAAACACCCTTCGTATTTTCGTGATGCCAGTAAGCCTTTCTTGTTGTTTTTTTCATCTGATTCTTTCATGTTAAAATTTCTACAGTTCACATTTCAGGAGCTGCATTCAGAAAAACAGGTTTTTTATGCGATAGGATAATTCACTTTTGAATTCTTGAACGGTTCGCACTAAATTTTCTCGTAACTAAATAACTCTCTAGCCAATCAAATAAGCTCTTAATAATCCTATTTATTATCCACATGTAACTTCTGTCTTAGAGGTCTCACAAAATAACACAGTCCACTGCTAAAAATTAAGCAAATACATTGTTTCGAGCAAACTAATCTGAAATTCTGAGCCTTTTCACTTGTACTTAAATCCCAACGATTCAGTTCATCTTTCAGCCGTAAAATATCCAAAAATAGATATGTACAATTTTGGTCAAACAAGTTGCTTATGTATCATTTTTAAAAAGAGAATAGTTTCACTGAAATAAGAGTAAAGTTGTGATTGAACTTAAATTCGTATGCAGAGATAACTACGTAATCGAGTTATTTAGACCAAACTGTTTATGAGATCAGCGACCGTTTTTATGTTGATCTAAGGGGAATTAAGGTAATAAATACATAAAAAACCAAAATACGCCAATAGCTTTTAGGAGTTTTTTATTTTGCTTTAAGCTAAACATATTAATGTTTCCCTGCCTTGATTTCATGTGTGTTGATATTTTAATAATCTTCTATCCCCTAAGACCTATGTACTTAAAATGAGTGGTAAATAATCTGTTAGTTAATTGGATCTTCGTTCTTGCAGTTTATTTCTTTTACATTTAGTTTTCATCTGAAATTTCATGAATCGAAGTTTTATCTAATATTATTCCATCTCTGAGGTACGTACTCCAAAAGCAGCATTATTCTCTTATTGACCCTTTTGATCGATGAATAGTAGTTATGTGATCTGTTTGTGATCATTGTTGCAGGTTGGTAGGTTAAAATAGTTTCTCTTCATACTTAAAGTTGGTGGTTTCCAGGACTAGGCGAGTGTCTGAACATAGTTGCAATAGACGGATACTGTTATAACCACATTGTGCTTAGACAAAAAAGAATTGATTGTTTGTAATTGATAATAATTTTTTTCTGTTATACTGACTTTATGTGATGTTACGAATAGTTTTTATGTATAACAGTATCTTTAATAATTGAATTATTTTTATAATCCCTACAGAGTTTTTATTTGGTCTGTTACCTGATTATGTATTACCGTACGTGATTTACTTACTCTCTCATGATTCCAAATGGGCAAAACTAGATGATGTAGAAATACTTAATAAAATCAAAAGGTGTGTTTTTTGTATTAAATTAATCTAAAACCATTGTATCAATAATATTCACTTATAATGAAATTATGAATAATCAACATACCTCGAAGGTAATAAATTGTTTAAAAAAATTTTTTCTTATTTATTTATGTTATCTAGTGCTTTATGGTTCATAATGGAACCGATTATGTCTCATGGTGAAAATTTCAGTTTTTTGAGAAAGATTATTGAAAAAATTAAATACGCACGAGATGCCCTTCATCCTGATGATACTCTGATCAATGAGGTAATTTTTTATCTCGTCAATAGACTTTTCACTTAAGGAAAATATTTTTTTGTATTCGACAAATAATTTATCCACTATTAAAACTAGTTTTCTGTTATTATGCAGTTAATTTCATACTTTTTGTTTTCAGGATAATTTTTATGTTGTAAACTTGATGCTAAACGATGTTTTCTATTGACAATATATAAACAGTGAGGAACACGGCTTTTGATATTCACCTTACGTTTGTATAGAACTAACCCAAAATGTAGAAACAGTACTTGTCCATACCAGAACTGTAGATTGTTCGTTGCTTTATTCAGTCTGTTGGATAAATATTGTCATTAGTTCTTAGCGGAAATATCGTCCGCAATTGAATTAGTGGTTTTTAGATATTTTTATCATGCAATTAAGATTTTAAATCTCAGCATTAGTCTCGATCTAAAGGGATTTAGGAAACGTTTGACCAAATGATATGTGTCAATGGCGCATTAACACATGACATTTTCAGGATCAAAATTTCTTTTCCTTTGTGAGGATGCAGCATCTCTGTAGATGCTGATTACATGAAGGGAAACAGCCTTGCTGCTATCACGCTCTGTGCAAATAATAGTACTTCTCTGTTGTACCTCAAGCTGCTGCGTTTATTCCTACGTTCTTCCAACAGAACTGGTTGACATTTTAGGACCCAAGTAAACGAATGTCCTAGGAAATTTAGTTCGATTGAATCACCACTGTAGCCCATCACGCCCAGATGGCAACCACAGTTAGGACCAACTCGCTGAACAATAATAAAATGGTCAGTATTGGAAAGTAGACCTTGATGTTGGTAGTTTTATTTTTCCTTTGTGTTGTCTACAGCACTGCAAATATTATTAACGCCCCTGTCGCATCTTCTAATCGTGCGTATGAAAGTGCTGCATTTCCCTTAATATAATGTTTTTGTAAAGTAAATATATGTATTATTATAAACCTCCTAAGCACCTTGTTTCCATCCAGTTTGAATATCAAGTGAAAACTGACCATTAGCTTAGTATTCAAACGTATGATCAGCTTTAAAAATTATCGACTATCAATCTCAAATGGAAACGTATTCCAGGGCCATTGCACTTACATATGGCCTTCACCTTACCTCGTTTAACGTTTGTACCCATAGCAATTGAACTGTTAATTTTTTTTTCTCCAGTTTCTGGATTATCGAGTTAACATAAATCGGGAATACGATTAATGGTATATTCATAATCTTGTGCGATTTATTTAAAGTCCAATTATTACCAATCCACTCTTTATCAATTCAATGTTAAATTACTCATGTGAAAGTATTAGTTCAGTTATTGTTGGAAAATCTCCAGTAGAACTTAGTGTTTTCCGTATCTAATTTAATTTATCAATCTGTTAGCATACTCATGTTTTTGAACGTTACCGTTACTTTATATTTGATGGCCAACAGTAAAATCAATCACGTGTTGTACTCTATTTAATTTTGATTATGAATTAGTTTTCATTTTGAAACTCGAACTAAATGTCCATACATAAGTATTTAAAATACGTTTATTAATTGGACACAACTATAGCCTTGTGTTTGAACCTTAGTGAAAAAATTACCACACTTGAAACAGCATACTCAATTAAGATTCGCTTTGCTGTTGATAAATGACTGGAATTGTGTGGTTTTTTGCTATATTAACAATTGTATTAGATATATAAAAAAGTCGAAACTTTAGCTTTTGGCAACTGATATTGCTTTACTGTTGTATCTTTTCCCCTTTTTTATTATTTACTCAACAGAAACTGTATACTGTATGCGATATTTCTTTGGGTCTTTTATTATCACGTTGCATTAACCCGACAATTAAAGAGTATCCGGTGGATGTCAAGCTACCTAAAACTCTGTTTACCTCTGCACCAAGTGATTTTCGTAATCCTGATTTTAAGCAACTAATAAATATCGGTTCAGAAAGTGAAGCACAAACAGGTACAAGCAATACAAATTCACCTTTGGAAATGTCCATCAAAAATAAGGTCCAACCAATTTTACAGTTCACCCCCAACAAACACACAAAAGCATTTAAAGAGGGATTAATACCTCCTGAACTTGTAAAACCCAAAGGCGTTAATACTTCAAAGCCAAGGTATTTAATTAACTATTTTTACACTATATTGGTTATCAGTAACGGCTTGAACAATAATATAGTTCCGTCATATGGACATATTTTTTCACTAAGATGAAACTGTTTAATAGCTTAACGTATTTCTAACTTAATTATTGACTTCTGGTTTTGCGTTACTTATAATTTTGCCAACTCAAATTACTTCCCAACCGGTACCAAAATGGGAGTATTTATTTATTTATTATTTATTTGAACACATAAATATTGGTACAGGGGGGCACCAAATATATATGCGCCACACAAAACAGTGATAATTAGAAGAGAAGGAGAAAAGAGAAGAAAAAAAAAAAAAGTAATGAACGTGGGGAATTATAAAAAAAAAAGAAGAGAGAGAGAGAGAACAATGGTGGGGGAAACGGAAAGGTACAATCAGAACAGATCTTTCAGTTAAGGAAGAATACGACCACCTTTTTATGAAGAAAGTAAAAGAAGGTTACAGCGGGAGCGCCACTGGCTTCTATTCTGAGCCATATCTGATAACGTCTCTAGCCACTGCGTTACACCATCTCTCGGACCCCAACCAGGGAGTCGTGAAGGACCAACATAAGCTAGCCCTTTGCAGCTTTCTTTCATACCACGACACCATGTCATATACTGACCACCTCTCCGCTTTTTCCAACCAGTCCCAGAGTCGGCAAATAATGCACGACGAGGAATTCTCTGGGACGACATTCGTAGAACATGTCCAAGCCACCGAAGTCGGTGTTTCAAGATGGTGACACCAATTTCATTATCGTCTCTGTGACCGAACACTCGATGCCGAACCTCTGCATTACTGACATGGTGTTGCCACTGGATGCCAGCAATCCTTCGGAGGCAACGATGATCGAACACAGAGAGTCGTCTAACATCCTCAACTCGGAGAGGCCAGGTTTCACAAGCATAGAGCAAAACTGCTCTCACCGTCGCGTTGTAGATCCGACCTTTTACAGCCAGACTAACATCACGAAGGCGCCAAAGATGGCCCAGATTGGCATAGCCCCCCCCCCCCCCCCCCCCCGCTCTGGCTTTCACTATACGTGCATTGATCTCATCACTCACGCCACCACCAGCACTTATGCAGCTACCTAGATACACGAACTTCTCGACTACTTCAATCTGCTCACCATCCAGAGTGAGTACAGGATTAGAATCCTGCCAGTCTTGTAGAAGTACTTTGCACTTCGAAGGTGCAAAGCACATACCATACCTACGGACACTGATTGCCAACTGATTAAGTGCGGATTGCATGGCTTGGGCATTCTCGCACAGTAAGACAATATCATCCGCATACTCAAGGTCGAGAAGTCTTTCTCCAGGCAACAGATCCACACCACCATTACTTACATCCGTCAGAGCTGTTTCCAGAATGTCATCGATGGCAAAGTTGAAGAGGAATGGTGAGATTGGGCAACCCTGCCTAACTCCACTGCTTGAATGGAATAGTGGAGAAAGGTGGTTGTATGCCCTCACTCTACCTGAGGTGTTTGTATATAAGGCTTTTAGGATGTTAATAAACTTCTCAGGCACACCCTTCTTCAATAGACAATCCCAGAGAACAGTTCTGTCCAACGAATCGAAGGCAGCCTTGATATCAAGAAACACTACGATTGTTGGCCTTTGATAAGTATGGCGGTGTTCTAACACTTGGCGGAGGGTGAAGATATGATCAATACATCCTCGACCAGAACGAAACCCAGCCTGCTCCTCGCGAGTCAATCCTTCTCGGGTTCTGAACAACCTACGAAGTATGACGGAAGCCAATAGCTTGGACGCGATCGGAAGTAGACTTATCCCCCGATAGTTGTTACAGGAACAACGTGAACCCTTTTTAAAGATAGGGACAACTATCGACTCATTCCATGACGTTGGTACACTCTCTAGTTCCCAGATCTTTGTAAACAACGTCGTCAGTCCTTTAGTCAGAAAGTCACCACCATCTTTAAAAAGGGCCGGGGGTAAGTCGTCTGGGCCTGGTGATTTGTAACGTTTCAAGAGTTGGAGTTCCTTGCGGACTTCCGCCTCATTTGGTGGATCAGTCGTCACCGGCCAAGGAGGGCAGGACAGTCTGACCGATGTTGCCGGAGCAGCAGGCCAGTTGAACTGCCCTTCAAAGAATTCTGCCCATCGTCCAAGACGTCGATGGATGTTAGTGATTGGCGTTCCGTCATCCTCGCAGATTGTTTCGCTCACACCAGACTTCTTGCTGCCAGTGGCTCGGATGAGTTGGAAGAGCTTCCGGTAATTACCAGATGCAGCTGCTGCTTCCAACTCACTGGCACGCTCCGACCACCAGGCTTCTCGGTCCTTACGCAAGCTTTGCCCGATTTCATTACGTAACAACCTTCGTCTGTGGTCAAACTCACGGTCACCCGGAGTAGACCGACGGGCTTCAATCAGTTGTAAGGAACCAGAAGAAACCCAGTGCTTGTAAGCGGGACGTTTCGCAAACCCACATCAGACTGTACCCGCCATTTTCATGGCATCATGCAATTGCAACCAATGCTCATCTATACTTTTCGGTGGAATGGTAGCTAGCCTAGAAGATAGCTCGATTCGGTACTTACTAGCAACAGAAGTTGCAGCCAGCTTGCTAACATCAATCCTGTGGTGGCGGTCACTTCGTTGTCCACTGAAAAGTAAGGTAAGATTGGCGCAGACCAGAGCATGATCAGATTCCAGATAGGTACTCCAAAAGGAGCGGCAGTCTTGTACACAACCGCGCCAGCGGTAGCTGATCGCGATGTGATCAATCTGAGTCCAGGCTTGAGATGCAGAAGGGGGACGCCAGGTGGCACATCGGCGATGACTGTGCCGAAAGTTAGTGCTAGCCAGAAACAGGTTGTGGTCTGTGCATAGTTGCAGTAGACGTTCCCCGTTATCTGTCCTGCGACCAACGAGTCCCCATCGGCCACCTAAACGACTCTCTTCTGTGCCTAGACGCCCGACCTGAGCATTCAAGTCTCCAGCTAGTACTACAATATCTGTCGAACGCACTTTCTGGAGAAGAACAGATAACTGGTGGTAGAACTCATCCTTGATTGCATCCGGGCTGCAATCTGTCGGGGCATAGGCGGAGATGACGAAAAGACATCGTTTCTCACGCCGATTTCTTCTCACTCTGATGGTACTTTCTAATCTAACAGCACATAACCGACTGTTAATGGGGATCCAGTCGACTAGTGCTGCCTCAGCTCTTGCGCTTAGTGCGACACCAACGCCAGCAAGACCAGACGAAGATGCCACAGGGTCCCCGGATAAACGCACGTAAAACAAGCTTTTTGGAGCGACAGATGGAGAGCGAACTTGTAGTACTTCACCAGAGTCTTGAATACGGGTCTCGGATAGACAACACACATCAATATTAAGACTTTCCAAAGACATTGCCAGCCCTATCTGTTGTCCGACCTGCATAAGTGTGCGAACGTTAAAGGCAGCCAGTTTGAATGGTGCGCGTGGTTTCAGAAAGACTGCTTCAGTACTCGTATTCGATGGTAACATACAATTTTCAAACCAGGCAGTGACTCGAGAACGTTTAGATAAAGCTGAATTTTTACCATAGGCGAGCTGCTGTCTGGGTCGAAACGGATACAAAAAGTAGAAATAGGAGATGGTGAGTAAATGACGTAGTAAGTAATAATAATAATAATAATAATAATAATAATAATAATAATAGTATCAGTCATTTCAATGTTAGTCAGAGAAGAACGAATATTTTCCGTAAGCGAATATTTCATCATGTTTTGGTGTGTGGGCTGAGATACTGCCCGGGTGCCCAAACCGAAGCAGGTGGTTTTCTTAGGGGGCCACACCCCGAGCCTTTGACCTAAAGGTCTAACCCACAAGGCAGTGGAGCATCGTGAGGAGATGCGGTCCCATGGAAGCCGGTGACCAAAAGTTGGTTCATACGCCATTTGTTCCTTCAGGATACTGGAGCCCATGTGCACCATAGAATTGGGATCCGGTTATAGCGCCGGACGTTCGCTTTTCGTCCTCTCATTTTCGTAAACAACACCCCCGCCACGTGAAGGCAGTGAGTAGGACTTCCCTGGCAGAGGCTGTATACGCGTGGCCGTGTGAGAGTATTTCGAGAGGGAGGGCGAACCCTCCCCGCTCTCGGCCATACCAGGGCATTTGGGGGCATGGGAGTATTTGATTCTTCACTAGCAATTTAGTATTTGGGAAGAGTATGCAGTGCTAAAAAATGTAAAACTTTACAGTTATGAACAAAAGACTAGTTTTCTTCTATATTTTTTTCATCCAATTAGTTTTATTAAGAATCCTGAAAATCCATTTATCATCAGATTGTGGTTGAATTAAAACTTCCCTCTAAACCGAAATTGTTGATTTTGTCCGTTCTACGAATAATTAATTACTTATCACAAGGACTGACAAATATAAATCAGGTTTACACAAGTAGATAGATTTTGCACTGTAAACTAAACGCTTATGATCACTGTTGAGTGGCCAGTTTTTAAATTCTCAATATTTAGTCCAATTCTTTATGGTTATGTTAAATTAGTCATGAGATGCTAAATCCATTGTTATTAGTTTATCATCTTTTAATGTACCAAAATCTAACTGTTCTTTCAGTTACATACAAACAACTTACTTAATTAAACTGAACCCATTAAACGTGTACAATTTCCTCACTAATTATCCTGTTTTTTATAGTTTTTATGAACTTTCCTGAGACTCAGATTTTTTTTTCATGTAGGAAAAAAGAAAAAGAATCAACCAGTCATAAGGAAAAGGAGGCGAAGTTTAAGACTAAGTCAAATAATAATATTGACGAGCTATCAGGACATGGAAGCAGCGACGATAATGAGAACTTATTAGATAGCCGAGATAAAATAGATCAACAACAGATTATATCCATTTGTGTAGCATCTACCAGCAATAACATGTCCTCAGAAATTGATCCTAAAGTTTGTGCTGATATTACGAAAACACAGGAAGTGAGATCGTCTTCCCCTAACCGAGCTGTTAATAGGAAAAAGCGTCGAAAAACAACTCCACCGGAAAATCTTAAACGTCCGCGTATTAGTAAATTATCAGACTCAAATTTAAACAAAAAACAATCCACACTTGATTCCGTTGTAAAAGTTAATGGAATTCCCTCAAACAAGTACTTTTCCCAAGTAAAGGATACAAGTCAGCAATTGTCCTTCGTCTTTCCGAGTAGGGATGTAAACGTTAAGGTTAAAAAAAACACAGAACCCAATGATGCAAAGCAAAATCAATCTCGTTCTAATAAAAACTCTAGAAGGAATATTAAGACATCTACAACATCTAAAAAAAACGACCAGAACGTCTCATTAAGACTAAGGAATTCAACAATTCCAGAAAATTCTCAGAAGCCTACTAAAAATCCAGGAAGAACTTCACATCTTACTAACAAAAGGCTTGTGAGAAGCAATGTAAGAAGATCATCGCGATTAAAAACCAATAAACGTACACATCTCTCGGATGCCCTGTCAAGGCGGCCATCCTCGAGAATGAGTGCGGTAATCGCCAGACAAAAACTCCTAATCCCAACGTCTCAGTCTAGCTCGAACTCGACGTCTCAAGTGACTCCAAAACGAAAGTAAGTATATGGAAAGATTTTAGTTTGCTTGACTGTTAAATATAAAGTATGATTTACTTCGTCAAACGCCGCGTGTATAAAAGGTTTTCACTAAGTTGATTTCTCGAGGCGGGGGTGTTCTTTACGAAATTGAGAGGACGAAAAGCGAATGTCTGGCGCTTTAACCGGGTCGGTGGATATGGAGGTTCCACCTAGAGGAGTTGGAAAACTTTGATTCCAAACCAATAATGTACATGGGCTCCAGTATCCTGAAAGAACAAATGGCGTACGAATCAGTAGTTGGTCACCGGCTACCATGAGACTGCATCTCCTGACGTTGCTTCATTATCTTGTGGATCAAACCTTTTGATTGTGACCCCCTAAAAAACCACCTGTTTCGGTTTGGGCACCCGGGCAGTTTTCCAGCCTCAACACAAATCGAATGATTTATGTGGCGCATATCTGTCTGCTACCTCCTTGTACCAATGTTCATGTGTCTAAATAAATGAAATGTTCACCTCTTTACCGTACATTAATATCTCACTTCGACTCATTCCTTATATGTGCATTAATGTCATTCGGGAAAAGTTAAATAAATATATATTTTTTCGCGTAATAATGACTGTTATTTCATGTTACTTAAGCACTCTTATGATCGAATTACGTACCTTCATATAAGTCCCAATCGGTGGAAATGAAAAATAAGGAACTTGTCGTACGCATTAAATTACCTAGACCATAAAAACAAATTCAGCTGAATGATTTTTAATTGAGACCGATGTAGAGAATTAAGTCCAACTATTTGCAGTAAATTGTTAGCGATCATTGTGGACCATTCCTTATTGGAATTGAATAACGCGAAAATGGAGAGGTTGTCTTTCTCTACGCAACTTATTGCTGCAGCTTCGAACTTCATCTGGACATTCTTTTTCCCAAAATAGCGAAGAAATATGTATTATCTCCATAACACAGATTGAAGGATCAGTACTGTTATTCAATAAAGCCGAATATACTTCTGACCAAAAACTGGTATAGACTACGTCAACCGAATAAACATACCCCACGAGCTTGACACTAAAAGAATAACTAATTAAGTTTCGTAGGGTTAACAAAGAGATGCAGCGTAACCAACTTAAGTGCTAGATAAAATAATTCCTTATTTAAGATTTATATCGGTCCTAGTTACTTTAAACTAAGAGAATGAGGACTAATGTGTTTTTACGACTAGAGCCAAACTTGACATGTCTTCAGTCGGTTAATACATTTTGGGATTTCCAAAGCTCTTACGCTTATTCTGTTTCTAGTTTTTTAATCTTATTGGTGTTTTGATTTTCTGATTTCATAGGTGGTGATACCTCTTGTGCAGCAGAGATCCCGTTTTAATTCTTTTGAAATCACTCTCCGAGGATGATTTGTTTTAATATTTTGTTGATCTGATCTCGAGTTTTTTGTATCGAATTAATTTATCTTTTTCAGTAACATTTTATTGCCTGAGTTCCAAGAGGTTCATTCGCTATTAACCACCAAGTGATATTTCCTTGTAAATTATATTTTTTCCTAAACGCATTTATCCACGATTTTGTGCGTTTAAGATATGTGTGTGGACGTTTTATTAGTAACTCTCTTATTCACCTTCCTGAAATATACCTATGTACGATAAGATTCTTTTAGTTACTTTTTTCCAAAAAGACTTTCGAAAAACAGAGTATATTGACATTTAAAGAAGAATTGAACGCATCAAGATAATCTGTTCAATAGTCTTGCTTCACAATCTGCTAAAGCCCATTGATGGTCGACTACTTCCAGTGCTTCCCATTCTGCCTTGAACGCCTTTTGCATATCCTGTGGAGCTTGTGGTGTAGGTACTTGGTGATCTGACAAAATCATCGAGTTATCGGCTGCGTTGTCCGAACCAAGTACCAAACCATACATACTTCTGAGGCCAAATATATTCAGAAAATACCAAGATGCAGAGCTAACCCTAAAACCGGTTCAACTATTAAACAAAAATTTACCAAGATGCATCCAAAGAAGTAAGCGACTCACAGCCTCTTTGAAGCATAGGCTTAAATCGATAAGTGAGTGGAAATGGAACTTTCGTGGTCAAGAAACCTGAAAAAGCCCAGTTGATCCAGCTGCCAATAACAATCATTGGAACCATATTGAGCGCATTGCTTCTAAGCATCTCAGTTGCCATTGAGGGGTCTGTCGGAAACTTGGTCATAGTGTATGAGACTTACCGGCCATTGGATTATTCATTGGACTTTCTCGCTTTTGTGTTTTAAAAAACCCATGCTCCTTATCATTGAAGAAATACTTGCGCATTTTAAAAGCCTACAATATCTATCTATTTCTAGATCTTACTTTTGCCGGCAAGAATCTTCCATTTTCGCGCAAAAGTCTACTGCGGATTAAAGCATGACTAGAACGGTAAAAAAAGTTGAACTCAATGCTTTACCTGTCGCCGATATTCTCAAGTTCGCCCTTTTTCTCACTGGTGAACATAATAGTCATGTAGTGACGTAAAACCCCAAATAGGAAAGTAATTATTACAAGAGGAAGGAATACCCATGATCGAATAGATGGGTCCAAAAATAGTTCGGCCATCTAAAACATAAGTTGTTTGTTACTACTCAACTGAATGGTTATTTTGAGTTCTTTAGATATTATTGCCCTGTTTTACCTATTGTGATTTGCAACTAAGTATGACTAGTCAGAAATAGGTTTGTTTTAACTCATACTACACAAAATGCGTCGACGATTGGTACAACAGGCATATCGGAGGAAACTCAAGTTTTAATTTTCCACCAGTCTTTTGATATAAAATTAGTAGCAGTAAAGGTCGTAGTTGTCGTGATGACTAGTTTTATTTGCTTTATCACAGAAATCCCAGTACATTTTTCGGAGATTATTTCTCTATTTAGTGCTATACAGATAGCGGCAATGCCTTTGTTATAACCTTATGTAGGAAGTTTGATTATAGGAAAGTTTCCCTAATACAAATGGGATCATCCCATCTAATTTCATGTTGACCATCGTTACTTTTTGTGGAGGGAAAACAACTCTGTCCTCTAAGGATTTAAGCTTTGCTGGATTCAGCCTTGTAGTCTTGTTTCTTCTAACATAAGTCCTATGCTCTGTTTTGCGGGTTATTTTCTTTTTTTAAGCTAGAATACTTAGTAAAACTGCCTCAGGATTTTTGCTGGTAACGACTATTTTACCTGTTGATACATGGTGTTCTTTACCGTGCCAATCGCAGCTCAGTGATTTTCTCATATTTGCAAATCAGGGTTGGTTCAGTTTAGAAGGTATTCTGCATTTTAAAATGACACTCCATAAGACGAGACTATGACTTATGAACGGCGTTCAAGCGACCCTGAGAATGCTCACCCACTTAACATGGTTAAGTGGGGCTTGTACGTTATTGTGAGGAATTAACGCTAGTTTTAGTTTTGTCGTGGGAATGGTAAGATATAATTTGTCTTTGAAAACATACTTTCGACCAGCAGATTAATGAGATTGAAATCTTACCATGTCATATTTTACAATATACATGCCTAGGTATATCAATCAGAAGCCAGATTCCCCCAGCTGAACCTTGATACGTGTGGTAAATAAACCTAGACCCTAAACTACCAGGTTCTTTTAGAATACATAACATCGCCAAGCTTAGTGCGAGTATGATTAGTACCATACATAGCCGCGTAACTTGGAATATATAAATACTGATGAATGGTTAAATAGAACAACGGGGTTTTTACCAGTGTTCCAATAGGTAATCTTCCTCCTAGTCAACATGTTTATCAAGCCGGACGGGATATTTAAAGCTATGTGCAATGTCACAAGGAATAAGCATCCACATATTACATTATTTTGGAAACCAGTCGGGTCCATCTAGTTGGCCTTCGAAAGCCAAATCAAGAATAGTTACGGAAGGCCTTTGAGAGGCGGTAGAGTGACCACCTGCTAATTATGATTAAGTGAGGCTTATAAACCGGTGCGATGGATTAAAACTACGGTTTACAGCTGGTGGTAAAGGTCTGGATCTAGATTGAGGGTTTTCATCACGGACTAAAATAGAAATACCTTTACTCTTGTCGTTCAGATTGCAAATGTTGCTAAGTTTACGACGACTTTTTACTTTTAGTTTAAATTTACACTAAATAGTCCAATTTCGCCTAAACTATTAATTCGAATTACTGATCGATAGGCTTACATTTACCGACTTACTATCTTTCCGACAGTCTTTTCGATAGCAATGACCTAATAAAATAAAGCTAGACTTTTCAGAATACGGCTTTTTGACACGGGGTTTGGCGATATAGTTTGTGCCGAACCGATGAAAACTTACTATTGCACTGGCGCGATACACAACCTTGAGTACCGTCCAATTTTGGGCAACCCACTAACTTGGACCAGATTTCTTGTTGGCATACGTAGGCCTAGAGACGTTGTACCATCTAGAAAGACAAAACTTAGCTTCCATAGCCGCTGAACTTCTACTACTTGATGAATTGACCCGATTACTTATTTTGCTCAATAATTCTCATCTTACACGACAGAGCTCTTACATAAAACGTTATACAATCCTAATATCAGTTAATTCGTACGCATATATCTCTTCCTAATATATGTACTTCTGATGGATAAATCATCGGGCTTATAAACTTGAAATTATGGTTGTAAAACCGAAGAATTCACAATGTAGGCGCTTGAATCATTTCTGGAAGCCTCTTAGTTTTAAACGGTCTAAGACATCATTTGACGGCGACTACCCTGAAGCACTTTGAAAACCTCTCAATCCTGGTTCTTCAGGAAAAAGTGATCACAATTTTACTGATCAAACTAAACCTAAACATCTCTCTGGCGATGAGCGTTATGTTTTCATAAAGTTGGGTTTATTAACAGCAGGTGGATCTGGAAACATACCATAAACTTGGTATGAACACTCACTGGGATTTTTTACTGTTCGTGACTCACATTCTGAAAACCAGCTCATCTTATAAATGTTTACATGGGAGCTCTTGTTTTTTCTAAATAAGGATATCAGTTTGCAGCATTTTGTGTGAAAAGTCGTGGACAGTGTGGAAAAATCACATATTGTGTGTGACTTGAATATTTTTGTATTGTATTTAGAGAAATTCGTTTGACTGCTGATGTCAGACTGTGTTTAGGCTTTTTATTTAGTTTGATGGCTTTTAGTATGCATATTTGGGTCTCAGTAAAATTCGTTTTGGTGTGAATTACATACGACAAAGTTACGAAAATTATAGTGACCCACTTTATTCTTCGCTAACGTGGTAAAATTCTGGAGGGGACTTCGCAACAAAGATAATTTGCTGACATTTCTGGGGAATCTAAATAGACTCCAAAGTTGAGCGGATAACAACGGACCTAATTTCGGAACTCCAAGTTGTAAAGTAGTCTATATGATGCATTGCAAACTACATTTGCAACATATTTAATTCTTCTCTGGAGGTGTCTGAACTTGGAAAGATGGAGTGTTAGTTACCTATGATCTAAAGTTTTACAGTAATTGTGACAAAAATGTTATTGTCAAATGATTATTGTTTCCCAAGTTTGGCACTTACTTTCATGCCACCCTATTCCAGGATGAATATGTCGTTATTCAGAGATCTGTAATAACCTGTGTAATAACTCTTAATCCAAACCATTTTTGTGGGTACATCTTTATCATAGTTATTTATTTATGACCTTTACCCCCACATTATATTATTTCGATAACAATATACTATTATGTAGCTTTATTTTGGACTTGTTTCGTGTTCTTTTACTCAGTATTGGGTTAACATAAAATTCATTTACCTTAGATGGCCTGCAATGAATTAGTCATAGTGCTCACGTCTATATAGATGCTCTTACTTAAAACTACCCTTAGTCCAACGTATTTCACTATCGATTGGCCATCAGTACGTCGCGGACTTCGAGATGATAAGATATACTACTACACTCACAGTAAAAATACGAAAAATTTGAGATTTCTTCTTAGAATCTATGCATTAAATGAGTGTGACTGTAAGCTACTGAACATGTGATCATTTTCGAATTTCCCTTACCTTCCTTCACTCAGACTGTTTGTTAATTGAAGAAAATTATTCAAAATTCCCTAGTTTTCAACAAGTGTTATTGGTCGTCAATGTATTTTGAATCCAACGTAAACCCTAAGTTTGAGAAGATCCCTCCGAAACTTCTGAGTGGAGCGCTTAAAACCAGTGGTATTTATAAATGATAATTGGATAATGAGTTTAAATGGCTTACATGAGAGGGTTTGGTTTGAAACTATATTGAAGACATATTCGTATAGTATAGCAAGGGTGTAAATGAAATTAATAGACTGAATATTGTAAATATATACCTAATTTGAAAGAATATTCTACATCATTAGTTGTGGCAACAGTTCAAAATGGTTAGAAACAATTGATTACATAATGAGTAAACATTGATAGGAATATAGTGAGTAGAGTTCAGTTGAGAGATTATTAATTTGAAAGGTAGTTGAAGAATAGAAAATTAATGATGTAATAAATAGAAAAACCAAAACAAAAATAATTCAAGGTGCAGCGAAAGAATATTTGTCACCAAGGCAAGAAAAGATTAACAACCATCTCCTTTTGAATATATAGGTCAGGTCTTTGACGCCTGATGTCAACGGCTTCAGCAAACTTCAGAAAACTGGAGTTTGGCTGCTTAGTAATCACCCTGAAGGATTGTGAGGTATCTACCTGATGATCTGGGAGAGCTTATACACCACGTCCAACTACATGGGGGATGCAGACAGGACAAATGCAACTTCATACTCTCTGCGAAGACAACTTATCGCAATAGAAAAATAGTTGTTTCTAACACTGCTTAAAATGTACTTATGGTCACACCTTGAAGTCCACGACGTAGTTTCATGCCCTTTTGTTCAAAATAGATATAAATCTCTTAGACCAAGTACAGAGTCGAGCGATCAAGCGGGTGATAGCGCTATAACATAAATCTTACGAGGAAAGACTCCAGCACCTGGGATTGTTCTCTCTGGGCTACAAGAGAACAAAGGGTGTCCTGGCATACAACATATTATGCCCGGTAACCCACTCAAACACGAAAATATTGCCAGGACACTATCACCACGCCCCTCGGAGCTACTCTCGGGGGAGTCGATAGACAATGAACCTGCTAAGAGACATGCACATGATCTGAAGTTAGTGGAATCCGTGGTAAGAAACGTACTACCTGAAGAGGTTTCAGGTGTACATTCACGGAAATTGATACGGCTCGGTAAATGGGTTGGAGGCGAGACTTAACCAAGAAGGATCTTGAAGCTGGTTCTCGGGAATTTTTTCACGATTTAAATATTCGTATTCGACGAGATTGGCCGCCTGAGGATCGAATCAAGTAGAAGAATGCTCTTAGGGAGTTGATAACTCTTAAGTTAAATGGCGAAACTAACCTTGCCATAAAGGGTTTTCGAGTAGTCAGGTCTTGAAAGCCAATGCTTCCGGGGCCTGTATGGGCAGAACGAATAATTACCAAAACACCTTTAGTGTGCGCTGCATGAACGCCCGTAGCCGTAGGAATAAAACGTCCGAGCTAAGTCTGATGGTGGATAAATTAAGTCCCGATAAACTGTTGTTACAGAAACTTAGTTCACCGTAGATGTAGAATGTTCTCCCATAATTGCAAGCTATATCTGTATTAGAAGTGATAGAGTTAAGTCGCAAGGGGGGGATCACTTTCGTATACGATCAATCATATTGGAGGCTCATGTTAATGGTACATGTGAAGTAGCATGTTGTAAGATTAAATCTGAAAATGGGTTAGTGACTATAGGGGGAATATACCTTAGTTCGCGTTGTCTTGCTGACGACTTTATCTTGAGACACATCTGTTCTTGGAGTACTGCAGAATGTTTTCTCATCATTGGAGATTTCAACGCACCGCACATCAACTGGATAGAGCTCACAGCTTCAGGTGGTGGTTTCGATAGCGACCTCTTATCAACCGTTATTCAGTGCGCACCTGTCCAATGTATCACAAAACCGACACATATTGATTTGAAACATCATCCTTCACTGCTGGTCCTCGCCCTCACCCAACATTGTGAGGATGTCTTTGATATTCAGCACCTTTTCCCACTAGTGAACAGTGACCACGTAGTACTTCACTTTAAGTTTAGAACACATGGTATACGATTTGTATCTGCTACACCCCGTCCCAATATCTGGCGGGCTAATATCCAGGCAATCAGAAACTGTGCTATCTTGACTGATTGGTCGGTTGACGCAGATGGATTGATCGAAAACGAATGGAATGAGTTTAGGGCTACATTAAAGTCCGTAACGTCGCCGTTTATCCCATGGTCAGCACGTAAGCTATCGCATTGCCCTCCCTGGATTAATAAGGAAACCCAGAAGCTCTTAAAGCGTAGGAAACACTTCTGTGACTTGTTCTTGTTGACATATCAAGCATCATTTAAACGTGAGTACCAAATATTCCGGAATATTTGTAAGAAAACCATAGCTAAATTCCGTACTACTTACGAAAGACAGTTGGTATATGATAGCCATACTTGTTCGAAACGACTGTTTTCGTACGTTAAACGTCGAATGAAATGTAGTGATGGTATTCCCCTATTACTGTTACACGATAATTCAGATTTACTAGCTGAATCAGATCGGACAAACGCTGAGACTTTTTCAGACTATTTTAGCGAAGTCTACTCTTCATTTGTTGTAACAGATACTTGTCCCAATCACACCAAGATACCAGCCATTGAATCTGTACAGGTGACTGAGGAAACTATCCTTCCGTTGATAACTAACCTCAAACCTGGTAAGACACCGGGCCCTGACGGGTTACATCCACGGCTGCTGTCATGTCTTGTAGAAATTATTTCTAAACCGCTCGCGACACTCTTCAACATGTCCCTTTCACTCACTCGACTCCATAGAAATTGGAAAGACTCTATAGCCAGTCCTATATTTAAGGATGGTCAGAGACAGATCGTATCTAACTACCGGCCTGTCAGTCTAACTAGCACTATCGTTAAGTTACTTGAAAAGATAGTTCGGGTTAGTTTGCTAAGCCACATAAATTTTTCGTGCCTCTAGGCAACACTCGTGTTATTAGTAGAAGAAACCAGACTAGTAGGCAAACAGGTCTTTATTTTGACCTTCGCGCGGTCACAGTGGAGCGTGGGATTCCTTGTTCAGACAAACAAAACCTTTCAACATACAATATAAGATAATTAGAAATAGAACGCCTAAACAAAATAAAGAAGTGAATAAATGTCTGAACTATGCTGTTTCGACATATGCTTAGTTGCTTGAGATCAACTCTTAACCAACCAACCTAGGCTGTTACAGATTCCCACAATTTGTTAGCTCCTGAGCAACATGTATTTCGTAACAAGCGTTCATGCTTGACTAACTTACTTATTGCGAGAGAGGATTGGACAGCAGCCTTACATAAAGGTCTGTCTGTCGATGTGATATTCATAGATTTTAGCAAGTCATTTGACAAGGTTTCACACTTAGGTCTTATGCGTAAGCTGACGAGCTTCGGAAAAATAGGTACTGTACAGTAGTGGATAGGAAACTTCTTATGTGACCGCAGACAGAGAGTGAGGGTCAATGGGACGCCATCCGATTAGGTGCCGGTCAAAAGTGGTGTACCCCAAGGTGCCATTTTAGGCCATCTGCCCTTCCTTCTCTACGTAAATGAGTTACCGCTGTTGCTCAGGTCGTCCACATTATTATTTGCGGATGGCGTAAAAATCTGGAGAACAATAAAAAGTGTAGGTGATCATCTGGATCTTCAAGCTGACTTGGACGACTTAGTTAGATTGGCTCGAGGTTGGGTCTTAGAAATCAATTCTAGGTAGAGTGTGCTAATGCACATCGGGCACGGCAATAGTTACCATTATACTATTGATGGTGAACCTCGTCCATACGTTCAAGAACATAAAGACTTAGGAGTAATGATAAGTCATGACCTAAAAACAACTACGTATTGCACCAAAGCTGCTGTCAAAGGTTTTCGTGCGTTATGGTCACTTCACCGAGAGTCCAAAACTTTTGACGAGTCAATGTTTCGAATTTTATATCCCACCTATGTAGGACCACATTTAGAGTACTGTATCCAAGCAGCTAGCCCATATATGGTAAAGGGTATTAACTCACTTGAGCTTGTCCAGCGTGTGAAAACGAAATTAGTGAAGGGTCTTTCTAAATTTCCTTACGATGAGAGTTTAAAACGCCTAAACCTTTCCCCTTTGTCGTATCGTAGGACTCGAGGTGACCTTATACTGACATCTTTAATTATCTTTAAATATCTTTAATTATGATTCGGGTGTTATTATGTCTTATCTTTTTGCTTCCTCCAGCACTAATAATCCCCGAAATCATAGCAAGAAGGTTCATAAACCGCGATCTAATAAACTTAAAGTGGGGTTCCGTTTTTCTCATCGAGTAGTCAATGATTGGAACGCCTTGCCCGAACAATTGATATTAGCCCCATCGGTGAATATTTTCAAGGAGAAACTGGACCTTCACTAGAAGGCAGTCTGTTAGGATTAACACAGGTTCACCAACCTACTATCCTTAATACTGAAGACTGAATTACAAAGTTGACTGGAATTCGTGCAGTCGAAAGGCCAGACTCCTACCTACTGTGTATAACTGAACACTTGGAACCCCGCCGAAACAGTGCGAAGCGATCGCAAGAAAATCAATCAGTTTATAAAAGCTTGCGTTAAAGGTATTGGACATTGCATTGGTTATTTTAAATCACTGACTAATTAGATCATAAGTGAAGGTCATTTATGCTGGTGATTTATGGCTGAGTCGGATAAGTTAAACATCGACAGTTTGATATCGAGGCTTTTAGAAGGTATTTCGTGATGAATTTCAATTTTCATGTGTTTTGTGCACTTTATAGTCCGTGGGTCTCGTCCAGGAAAGAATGTGCAACTATCTGAAGCAGAAATAAGGGGTCTAGCTCTGAAGTCAAGGGAAATTTTCCTTCGACAGCCCATTCTGCTAGAACTCGAGGCACCACTAAAGATTTGTGGCGATATTCACGGGCAGTATTATGACCTCCTCCGTCTGTTCGAGTATGGAGGCTTCCCACCAGATGCGAATTACTTATTCTTGGGTGACTACGTTGATCGTGGCAAACAATCCCTCGAAACTATTTGTCTTTTACTGGCTTATAAAATAAAATATCCTGAAAACTTTTTCCTTCTCCGTGGGAATCATGAGTGCGCATCAATCAATCGCATATACGGCTTTTACGACGAATGTAAGCAGACCATTTGTATTGATTTTACTATGCAGGCAAGCGGAGATATAATATAAAGCTGTGGAAGACGTTTACTGATTGTTTCAACTGTCTACCAATAGTCGCCATAGTGGATGAAAAAATCTTCTGTTGCCATGGTGGTAGGTTATAACCTATATTTGTAAATACACAGGCCTCTCCCCTGACCTCCACTCTATGGAGCAAATCCGTAGGATTATGCGTCCAACCGATGTCCCAGAACAAGGTTTACTGTGTGATCTACTTTGGTCCGATCCGGATAAAGACATTACTGGATGGGGAGAAAATGACCGTGGTGTGAGTTATACGTTTGGTGCAGATATTGTCACAAAGTTTCTTCACAGTCACGAGTTGGACCTCATCTGCAGAGCACATCAGGTAAGGTTAAATTCCATAATAACTACTTAAATCTGCTAGGTCGTGGAAGATGGTTACGAGTTTTTTGCCAAACGCCAGCTCGTAACTCTATTTTCTGCTCCGAACTATTGTGGAGAATTCGACAACGCTGGGGCCATGATGTCTGTTGACGAAACCCTTACTTGTTCCTTTCAGGTGAGAAATTTGTAGACTTTTCTCACCATTGCTCATAGATATTAAAACCTGCAGATAAGAAAAAGTTTAACTTCCGATCTCTCAATTCCGGATGGCCTGTTACTCCTCCGAGAAACTCTAAACTCGAAGACAAATGAATTTCCACTATATCATTGTTACCAGTTCCCAGGGTCCGTGGAAACAATTTGGTAATGATTTTTAAAATGTACAGTCGTCAGACGTTAGATATTCAGCGACCTGATGAATATATGTTATTTATATCCTTTATTTACTTCACTCTTGCTACATTATGGTTAAGATCTTATAATTTAATGTTTTAAGTTTCATGCTTTTCTCTATTTGCAAATTTTAACGCACAAAATCTTTCTGTTTTGCCTCCATTTGGTTTTGTTCAACATAAAATAATGTACAGACATCACTGCCCTTTTGTTAACTAATGCTTATCATTGTACAATAATCTCCATATGTTGTATTTGAAAATGTAGGCACCGTATTTTCATTGTACTTACCTCATTTTGTCATCAATTAGCTTTTCATCGTTATGCACATCACAAACGTTTTCTTATTAGTTCTATTAAGATGTCTGTATAAATACAAATTATGAAATCTTACACTTGTTTCGTTATTTTAGTACCCAACACTCGGTATGCTCCCATTTAAAGTCGTCTTTTAAGTCTTCAATTTGTTAGCTGCCACAATTTGGCGTTTTCATAGAATTTTGTAACCTCATCATGATGTTTGTTCATCAAACTCGGCAATTTCCTTCGGTCATTGTCATCTGAAGGTATACTAAAATTTCAAACTGCGATATTTTAGATTTCAATAACATGTATGAACCTAGCCAATACCACTTCGACTGAGTAACTACAATCATACCCAACCGCTGCATGGTTTTGTTAGTGTATGATTAGGTTGAAAGAAAGCTCGGAGAGGTCAAACGAAGACGTTGCGTCTGTCCATGGATTTATCGACGGTTGGACTGACTTGTGTTGATAGGTTGAGACTGCTTAATTGCAGTCATCGCAGTTATTATAACTAGTGATTGGAAGCGTTTGGTGATATGGCTCATAATCAGTTTCAACAACTCCAGTGTATTCGCTTTGCTTTCGATATGTCCTAAATGTCAAAATTTCATACATTTCCTCGAATCATATTACCTATACCTTATGTTTTCTTCTACTAGTACCATTGCTGCTTCTACCACTCTGAAATTTGTCTTCGTACTTTCATCTCCGTACTGTCATCCTTTATCAACTTGAATTGAAGGACGTATGTACCAAGTTTTACGTTGCTTCTGGCGGACCAAATGGATCAGTAATGTATGTATTTGTTTGAGGATAACGCCTTGTTAGTACTTCGAACTCTCAATAAAGCGCAACTCAGAATTACCTGTTGCTTTCGTAAAGTGTGTCGTCCGATTGTATTTTCTTATTGAACAACATTTAAGGGATTATTTTTTAATAGTTAAGGAACTGGAGTAAACTTTGGTTTTAATTGTTTTCTGCGTCAGTGGCTCATCACAGGCACAGAATTACGTGGGCCTTATTTGCCATACCTAATTCGCACGGTAAGATGAAGATAACGTAAGAGATCGAAGTAATGTAGTATCAATGATAAAAAGAAAAACTTAACCTTAGGAACATGGTTTTAAAAGGCAGAGTAAATGGGTGTTTGTAAAGAGATATTGGAATTCAAGGTCATGAGAAAGATGAAGACTGGGTACACCTACGCCATTGTGAACGATCTTGAGCCCTGTTACTTAGTCTCCAACTACAGTTCACGCTGACCACAACCAGAAAGCTTGCTGCTGCCAACATGTCTCCGAACAACAGTCGATGATTTCATTTTGAGGCTAATATTTTGGACCTTTGATGAGTAAGACTCATTCCTCCGTGTTTATCACAATAAGAGTTCGTATCCTTTCTTATAGCCTGGGACGATGAGCTATCGAGACCGGTCAAATGGGACTATATCCATTCCCAGGATTCTAGCTAATATTTTAGTTTATTTGCTAGGACTGAACCACCAGCCTTAAATATCTTGGGGGCCAATCCACATGGACATGCTATCCCCCCTCTTTTTAAATTACCTATAACCCTTCCAACTTCATTAAGAGCTGGGAAACTCGTGTCAATCTTCCGTTCAGGTTAATTGAAGATAGAAAGTAACTGAATGTTAGCTAGAGGCCAATTAAACTGTTCTCTAAAGTGTTTTCGCTATCTATCTAATTTGATATCTAGAGAGAACAGTAGTTCCGTTCTTCTTCCAAACTCTCACTAACACCCGTCTTTAATACCCATTTCCTTGATAAGTAGATAGAGTTGTCCCGTACTACCTATCTCCTCTTTTTCCCATCTCTTTTACTGTCGTTACCCACCTCTGCTCACAACCGTTGCGTAAACTTTCTGTGAGTTTTCGTCTCTCCTCATCGTTCTCCGAGCCTTTCGGAACGGGTTTTTGAGTCTCCAATAATTTACTGAATGTCACCGAAACTTACTCGTCTTTACTATCTTTTTGATCTAAGATGCTGATAAATGTCAATGCTATATTTAAAGCTGCTTGGATATCTTTCCAGGATTCTTCTGGACAAATTGCCTGTACGTTTGAATAGGTGGTTAGCTAGTTCTCTCGTGAATACAACCTTGACCTTTTTCATCCTCGAAATCTTACCTAAAGGGTTTTCCTTCTGTGATTTTCCCGTATCTAATTAAACCCACAGAAATGTATGCCTTCACAAAGGCATGATTAGAGTTCAAGCATGTACTCTTGTAAGAACTGTAGTTTTTTATCGTGCCTCTCCAACTATGGTTGATGGCGATATAATCTGTTTGTGTTCATCGAGGTGTCGATGTGTGTTACCACACTACACACTCTCTCCTTATGTTTGAGGTGTACACCTACCAGGAATAGTCTGTTGTCCGTTTCCTGTTCTTTGGGTTGGGATACCATAAGATTCACTTAAGTGCTTTTTGGTTTGGCTTCGGTGTTAAAATCTATTACGGTTACTACGTCTAGTTTCCTTAAGGAGGTCATGGAGTTTCCTGCAAAACTCGTCTTTTACTCCTTTCAATCTGTAACCAGTGGGGCCGTATGCACGAACGAGGAAGCGGAAACAGCGTGTATCCCTATATTTCCGATTTCCTACTGTGCCATTATGGCAGACAACACATAAGAAACTGTCGAAAGGAATTCCGTTAATGAATTCCTGTTTAGCTTTCAGACTTTGTGTTATATTTACAGCGGTGAAGCCACGATAATGTACTATCGCGTCTTTAATTATACGAGGTGTATATCGAGTTAGCTTCTCACATGGGTTAGGTGGGGTCAAGTGGATAACCATTTTAGAATCCTGTATCGGATTTTTTACGACGCAGCCTACATCGACGGTATGAGATTCTGGGGTCCTAGCTAGTGACGTCTGTTATCCAACTGAGCATAGGGTTCGGATACTAAAAGCCCCAACATATAGTTTGAGGCGTGGTTTCAGGAAATTCGGCATGGAATTTTTTTGGATTAAAATCGTTAGCATTTGTAATACATGATGAAAAAGTCGAAGACTGATTATGAGAGATGACCATATATATTCCATTCATTGTGTAATAATGTAAATGAATATGCAATAGTTATAATTCACCGAGTTGTCCCATTTGCCATTTCTGAAAAGATTCCCGTGTACTCTTTGAATATAAGTGATAGGTCTTATGCACTTTGGGTTATTGACTGAAAGTAAGCGTACCTGGAATCCGAGGACAGATCTACTCTATCACTGACTTTATTAATGTAGGTTATAGAGACACTATAAATGTAACCGCTTTTGAGTTGTATCCATATTATACACTCACAAGTATAAAGAATAGTCACAAACACCAATTAGTTGTAAATTCAAATACCAAAATAAATGGCGAATGCTTTTCGTATTTTTTTTTCATAAATAATCATTTAATTATAATAATGGTTGTAACTTATTTAAGACGGCATACTTAAATCATGATTAATTAACAACCAAAATGTTCAGATATTTTTTCGTAAAATCAACGTCTTAATGTTTTAACTAAGTGATTCGAAACGAACTAAAACTTGTTACTGAGACTTAAACGTTCAGCTCAGTAAAAAAATCAAAGCGCATTTAGAAAATAAAAAGAGGATTTCACCACTCTGAATCTCTATTAATTCGCACTTTGTATCATGGAGCTAGCTTCTTTTATGCAATTTCTAAATTTCACCCAAAGCAACTAGAAAAGTACAACTTGACTTATTGCTTTGAGAAACCATAACTAAAATCTCATCCCTATGAACGGATCTTAAGATTATTGGAGACGTAGCACTTTCCCTACTATACCCGCTGTTTATAGCATTTATATAAGAAAACCATTATCTAATCGTTATTTGTGTGCATCATTAGTATTGCTTATCTAATGCCTTTCTTATAGTTGTAAATGCTTTATTCACTTGATTTTTCCAGATTTTCTTTTCATCCTATGTAATTAAATTGTAATGAGTTTTTCTAGTTCTTTTTATAAATTTACTAATAACAAAATCCAGCCCAAAATAACATAACAAATTTATTTAGATTTTGTCTTCTCCTTGTGTCATTATTTTATCACATGTCTGAAATAAGAACTAGTTTCTCTTCGTTTTAATATAGGAAAGTTAAAAAACTCAAATAAATAATAACTATAAAAATTCTTCATCCGGGGCTTGTTTAATAGTTAGGTAAGTACTGTTTTCCTATCGTGACTACAAATCCCGACTTCATGAAAAATAAGATTTTAGTAGGCTTTCAACCTGGAACCCAAAATGTTTTTCTTGATTTAAAACAAATAGGCTGAGGTTTGGAAAGTATTTCCGTGCTTGATTTAAAGGTGAGAAAATTGTATGCGTCTTCAAGAGAAGGGCAGTTATTAGAATATTAGATGACTTTCTTGATTTCACTGTAGATGTATTCTTCTCTTTAGAAACTGGTTAATTCAGCAGTCTGTGCCCGGAAGCCTCTAAAAGTCACAATCTCTACAGCCTCATGGCTGATACATGAGAACTTTCGACCTGAAGCTTGAACACTGATCAACCAATAGTGTAATCCCATGACAAACAATGATGAGTAAAAAATTCAAATAAGATTGGAAGATATTAGTATCAA